CGGGCCGCGTTCGCCATGCCTTTCAACCCCTTTGACTTATCGGTGTTTACGCCAGGGAGGGGAGGGGGTGCAGAAACTGGCCTCCAGCACAATTTCCGCGATACGGTAGCTGGGGGCAAAAATTGAGGAATTTTATTAATTAAACAAGGGTATTATTTACCGGGTCAGAGACACCCACGCCCAGTTTCCATCGCGTAACGCATCCGGAAAAGATTCCTTGGAAAATAGTTTTTCAGGCCGTAGATCGACTACAAGCTACGCCCCTTTCTACAGTGCGTAACTGGCAGCGGAACGTATTCCCAAAAACTCGAAGCCTCCAAAAATATCATCGGTATCGACGTTGGGACGTTGGAACCTCTGGAAAAGTGTAATGCTCTGGAAATGCTGACAGAGACTCCACTCTACAACGGCTACAGTACACTTGCGGAAAGATCACCACAGTAGCTTTAGCCTTTGACTTCCTGGCCTTTTTAGCAGCGACAAGTCAACATCATAACTTCCGCAGCACTACCTGTTGACGGGACTGATTTCTTTGGAAATTTTAGTCGTTAGAAGCCAGCGGCGTATACCTAAGCCTAAGCAAGCCCTAGCTAAGGCTCTGCAAAGCTTAAGCCTAAAGTAAGCCGCGTCCAGCCAAAGTTTAAGCCTAAGTCTAAACCTAAGGCCGAGCAAAGCCTAGGGAAAGCCAAGCTACTTCTTGGAACTAGAGATGTTAAGAATCAATTAACAATCAAGATTATTTGCATACATTGGCACAATATTATTTGATTTGGATGGGGCTGAGCGCATGGCCAAGTAAAATAATATTATTTGACTCCGCTCGAGAAAGAGCCAAGTAAGATTACTTGATTTACTTGATTTACTTGATCAAACAATAGCTTTCTGGAATTCTGGCATTTTTCGGATGGTAATGAACTTTATGACATGATCGCATGCTAATTTACTGGGTTCGCGGCACGATTGTCTGATTTGCATTGCGAATTTGCACAAAATCAAGTAATTTCGCTGAAAATCAAGTAATTCTCCCAAATCAATCAAGATCAAGTAAATCAATTAATTTTATTTTACTTGATGCTTATTTAATCAAACGGCGTAAAATAATTTTATATTTACTTGAAGATTTCAGATGCAAATAAAGTTGTTCAAGCAAATTTACTTGGTCATTATATTACTTGATTCGTAACATCTCTACTTGGAACCCGTATCAGCGGTCCCGTTGTGCCACTACCGTACCCCAATAAACCCCCAGCGATTTCCCCATCAAATGACCCCCGTTGCCACTAACGATAACGACAAACCTTACTGATCCCCCATGCAATGCCATATCCCTTACCGACCTTCGCCCTCCACCACCAACTCCCCGAGAACGCAGAAAAAAGCGGGGGGCGCAAATTTGGTGGTCAACACGCTGATAAGCGCGCCCCCCGCAGCTTTCAGGGACCCTATCAACGATTTGTACGCGCGAGGCACGAAAATTACTGCCCCGCAGCGCGGGCTCTGACGAAAAGCGGCGTCGAAATGGGGGTGGGCGGTGATAAGGGAAAGTTAGCCCCGGGGTGGGGGGCGAAGCTAAAAGTCCACCTGGTAAAATGGGGACGGGGTCTAAAAATATCGGAAAAATTACGTTTGTTATTCACGAATCGCGATCACGTCGCGTGTCGCGGGCGCTTCAGAAACCCTATGGATCCCGCCGCCTGCGAGACAAGCGACGCATTGTCGATTTTGTCAAATCGTCGAAATCCAGACTTCCGAAATGCCATAATACCGGGGAATCCCCAGAACAACTTCCGAGAAAATTTACTCATTTTCTCCTTATGAATTTCGACCTGACAAAAAAACACCCTTTCGCCGCTTGCAGGATTCGTCATACCTAGCCAAAAACCCTAAAAACTGCCTTGCCGCCCTTTTAAAAAGAGCAGATATCAGAATTTTCCGCGACCCGCAACGCGCACGCCCGCCTTTTCATGATCGTTTGCTGCGTTTTTAGGAGTTCTATGTCCAAAAAATATAATAAACCTGGTAAAAGAGGCAGGGTGTCCCTAAAAACACTAATCCGAACCTCGTTCACTCAATCAAACCACGTCCCGTTTCATCCGAGTTCGAAAGCACACTTTTTCTTGCACCGCTGACCATCCCGTATTTCTGGTTGTTTACCACGGCTTTTCCACCCCGGGATCCACGGTGTAAGGATCCAGGAAAAAAACGACTCCCCAGCAGTGATCCCTTTTTTTTGAGGTGATAAAACCGTGCGGGCAGCCCAACGATGGGTTCCGAGAGAGCGATGGGGGCCTTTAGAAATCGGTCTTGCAGCCACATAGCTGAAAGAACAAAAATATGGTCCAGGAATGAAAAAAAAGAAAGTAATTATTATTATTTTCGAACCTATCTGCAAGGTAGTGCCAGAAACTAAACCGAAAAACTAGTTCTAAGGCCTACCGACTGTAAAAAGCTGAGAGCGTAACGGTGACCCAAGTTCTAAACTGAAAATTAGTTCGAAACCGCTAAAACGCGATAAATAAATATAAATCCGAGTAATCAAACCGTAGCTAAAACAACCTGAACGTTATTTTGTACAAATGTATCAATTTTAAATCATAAAACGCGCATCAAGTCGTCACATCTCTCTTAATAGAAGGCCTAGAATGTACCAGAAAAACCTAGAAAACGTAAGACCTTAACTAACCCAAAAACGTATCTTAATATCAAAAATTATCCAATTCCAGATCTGAAAACTCGCGTTTTAGAAATATTTAACGTCGAAAAAACCGGCTACATATGCAGTTTACTATTCCAGCGTTCATTCTGCACTTCCACAACCGCTGCAAAAAACCACCCGCTATGCATTCACTGATCTCACCGGTCTGCGCCACGACGAATAAAGAAAGCGATTGTCCCCGACAAATCGGAACGCGGACTTTGCCCTGGGCGAGGGCATCCCCCGCTCTGCGTGCACGTGAAGCGGCCATGCACTCAAAAAAATCGTCCAGGGATCCGGGGAGATTGATAGCTTGGCCCGGCTTTCGACACATTTCGGCATCCAAGAAAGCGATCGGCGCAAAGCCTCGGCTAGCACAAACGATGGGTAAAACGGGATGTGCTTCAAATGTTGAAAAGGTTAGACCTGAATTGGGATAGAAGAAAAAATACTGAAGGACCCAGAAAAGTAGAAGAAAATGGAGTAAACAAGCTAAATAAATCAAAAATCTTTTGCCTAACAAGGAGACGTTTTTTAGTGTGAATGGAGTTTTAAGTTGAAACCAAGCCTATTCTGTGCAGAATTTTGCGCTGATTCCGATACTATTTTCCAATTTTGCTAAATAGCTCGATTTAAAAAGTTACAGCTATTTTAAGATAATTTTTAGGCCCAGAGTAGCCATATGCTATGCTGTGCTACTTTTTTTTATAATGTTCTAATTTATTTTAAGTAGCCTATCTTGTAGAAAATTTTTTTCTGATTCGAATGGTATTTTTGATTAGTGCGCTACTGCCGATCGTCGATGGCTTACAGGGGTGAGAAATAGGCTGTTTTTCACCATTTCCCATACAAAAATCGCAGTCCATACCAAATATCGTCGATTTTTTCGATTTTCAACAATTTTTTGTTAAATAGCTCATTCGATAGAGAAAATTGTTCTGAATACGGTGGCGATATCTATTTTTGGAAAAACAGCCGGGAAAAGCAACATAATGGTCCCTAAAGAGGGGAAAATTTGGGCTAAAATGATCTTAAAATTGCTGTAACTTTTGAAATCGAGCTATTTAGCAGAAATGGAAAACATATTCGGAATCAGCGCAAAATTCTGCACAAAATAGGCCTGGTTTCCACTCACTAGGGAAGTCCAAGATACCCGCAACACGGATCGGGCTGAAAATTTGCACAGTTATAGAACCGGCCATGCTGATCATCGCCTCGTTTTCCGAATTTGCTACCGAGCTTAAATAATTAAGATATTAAACTTTTAAAATGCGCCAAAAACCCGCCACCCTGACCCTGGCTCACTAGAGCGGGTGGGGTTCAAGAGGCCTTTGGGAAGCCCCCTTTCCAGAGGTTCGGTAGTCAACTGGTAAGCGCCTCGCTTCCCGGGTGCAGGGTCCGGGTTCGGAGCCGGCCCGTGCATTTTTCTTTTGCTTTTTGCTAATTTTGGGCCGCACATGTGGCGCGTGTCCAGATTGTGTTTTTTACTACACGCATATGAGCGGTTGCTGCCGTCGAATTACGGAATACCGGTTTTTAACAATTTTTTTTACTAGTGATGTTTTTTATGAACTTTTTTCATAAATTTATGATTTCGTTGAATTTCATTTCTAGGATGTACGTAAATGACTGTGCATAACACAATCTGGAGACGCGCCACATGTGCGGCCCAAAATTAGCAAAAAGCAAAAGAAAAATGGACGGGCCGGGTCCGAACCCTGACCCTGGACCTGGGAAGCGAGGCGCTTACCAGTTGACTACCGAAGCTCTGGAAGTGGGGCTTCCCAAACGCCTCTTGAACCCCACCCGCTCTCGTGAGCCAGGGTCAGGGTGGCGGTTTTTAACGCATTTTAAAAGTTTAATATCTTAATTATTTAAGCTCGGTAGCAAATTCGGAAAACGAGACGATGATCAGCATGGTCGGTTCTATAACTGTGCAAGTTTTCAGCCCGATCCGTGTTGCGGGTATCTTGGACTTCCCTAGTCAGAACTCCATTCACACCAAAAAACGTCTCCTTGTAAGCAAAATATTTTTGGTAGTACGCCGCGATACCCTTTACGGCATCAGTAAAGTGTTGCAGCACGGAGCGATCACGAAAGCTAGATTCTCGACTTTTTTGTCCTAAATTTTCACTCACTAAATCTTTTTATCGTTAGGTGGTTTCATGTAATGTTTTTCCCTTTTTCAGAACAAACCTCAACTTGTCCTATTTTGCACCCTTCTGCACCCCCAATACGAACCCCAGCAATCTGGTCGTGCTTTCGGCAGAGGTATGCAAAACTCCCCTTTTCAACCTCGCTCCAGATGCATTCTGCGCCCGGTCAACGCCGGCCAGCCCGGTCTGGAGTCCCGATGATCCAGCCGCCGCAACAAATCGACGACTCGTACACCAGATACGTGGACCCGCAATACTTGGGAAAGGTAGGTTGCTTAGAACCGGTGGGAATCTCGTTTAGGGCGGTTTCGCGACAGTTTGGCTATACCGTGACGACTATAAGAAACAACCCTATGCTATCAAGGTACGGTTTCCGTGTTTACTAAAATCTCGTCTAGATCATAGCCAAAGCTCAACTCAGCCGAGACTCCAGCGTCGCGAAGCTGCATCGTGAAATACAGCTGCAAAGGTTGCTATTGTGATATTTCTACATTTCGTTTTAGCCGTTGCTCGCACCCTAACATTGTGCGATATTACCACGACATGGAAGACGAGCAATTCCACTACCTTGTGCTGGAGTATTGCAAGAACGGCACGTTGCAGCAACGAATTCATCGTTCGCAATGTAAGGTGTTAATTTTTACTACAGCTGTGGTTGTTTTATTGTCGCTTATTTCCTAATATTCCTTTTTAGTTCGTCGCCTAACATCGTTCGAAGCCTGCACCTACCTAAGCGGAGTGATCGAGGCGGTGCTCTATCTGTTCGAAATACATCTGCTCCATCGAGACCTCAAGCCCGCCAATGTCTTCCTGTGCGATGATCGGTTCGCGCAAGACTTGATATTCAACGAAATTCTTTTAGCAACATCAAGCTCGGAGACTTTGGATTGGCCATCGACAGCCTTGGGCCGCCGTCACGCAGCATTTCCGGCACGCCGAATTACCTGGCTCCTGAAGTGCTACGCCGCCGCGGCCATTCGGAGCACTCGGAGGCTTGGGCCATCGGCTGCACGCTCTTCTGCATGCTAACCGGTCGTCCGCCATTTGAGACACGTAAATTTTTCATTTGCTATGAAAACAAGACATTTTTAGCGCAATTGGACTGCACATACGCTCGCATCATGAAAGCCGACTATACATGGCCGCAATTTGACGATGGTGGCCCGCCAATAGAGCGCTCGGCGATGGCTTTGGTATCGGGGTAGGTTAAATCTATCAAGATTTATTTTTTTTCCAGTCTTCTCACGATTGATCCGAGCTCTCGTGTGACTGTTGACGGCATCAGGGAATCGTTGTTTTATCGCATCAACCATCAGCACCCCGATGAGCGCCCGCCATTGACAATGTGAGATCGCTTTTCGATACCTCATTTATACATTTTTAGAAACTGCGAGTTGGAGATGCCCCCCGCTTACCAACCTTCCTGGCCAACGCCGTCGCCATCGCCGCCCAGTCTTAATGAACCGTGCTACTCGCCGCCTGAGCAACAACGCATCAAAGTCAACGGTTGGGACATATTGCGTCCGACGTCGCAAAAAGTTTGTTTAATTCTCTGCTTTCTGAAACTTCATTTGTTAGTGGCGCCCCGAAAAGCACTCGGCGCAGGACTCTGGCGTCGGATCCTACCCGGACCTGATCACCCCTCGACCAGCTTGGATCACCCGGCTGCAGAGCTACCAAAACGAACTGACGATGATCGTTCAAAGCCACCATCGACTGGTCGAGATTATGCCTGGTAAATCTTTGCCTTATCTTATTGTTTTATCTTTTGTTAGAAGCCGTCCTTCACGTCTCACGTTGGGTAGATTACACAAACCGACAAGGCTTTGCGTTTCTCCTCTCCGACGGCTCGTGCTCGGTCAACTTTTGCGACGGCAACTATTTGGCCCTCAGGTACGTATCTGGTGGTTCACCCAATTCGTCCCTTTAGCCCCTCATCTCTGATAGTACGCTACGGCTCGGACACCTTTGGGGAGTCTCGCACGCTGTCAACGTACCAAGCACCGCCTGAAATCGTCGAGAAGGCGCGGCTGGCCGGCGAGTACCGTAAATACATGATGCACAACCTGGCACAAGCGGTCGATCAAGGGTCCGTTTATTTTTCGCTTTGCTATAAGGCTTGTTTAGTATCTGGGATCGCTTGGGCGGGCCAATGAGCAATCAGCTGCCCTATGTGCAAGATGTCTGGAAAAGCCCGACAGCCGTCGTCTTTCTGTTGTCGAACGGGGCGGTGCAGGTAAACAGTTTTCGATTTTCCGCTTTACGCTTCTTTAGGTAAATTTCATGGAACGCCACTGCAAGATTATCATCTCACCGCCCACTGGGTACCAACCGCTCATGGCTGTCACTGTCATCGAGCCCAACCGCGCGATCCGTTCATATAGAGTGGAGACACGTAGGCCTGGTGAGTTTTCAGTCAACTTTAGTTTTGGTGCTTGCGCAAAATGGGTGTACTTTTTCCTTCGGATTTTATTTTGCGAAAATAAATAGAAGCTGTTTTTTTATTTCGAAAACGTGAAAACTACGAATATATTACGATTACATTACACAATTTTAAACTTTTCACTTCACCTCAATTTTCAGAGCCAAACGCCTGGCGTGCTATGGGCCCCCTCATCCCTCTACTTGCCGAGATGGGACCCTTGATGGGAGATCAGCTGGTGCGCGTCCGTTTCCCACAACCTCCGGCCTCACGCGCCTACCCCGGCTTGCTCAACCGAATCCCCCGTCCCCTCTACGCGTAGCCACCCTTTGTTTTGTATCGTAGCATTGCACCCGGTACCCGCAGCCAAGTGTTATCCTCTCTCATCCACCAACTCCAACACGTCCACTCCTTGGCCTCACCCCGGGCGCAATGCAATGCCCTCTTTTCCGAACCATTCCTTGGATTACAACACCCTAATCAATTTTTATCGCGTATACGCCCCCGTTTTATCCGTCCCATCTTGTTTTCAGTAGAATGCTCCCCCTCACCTTGCACACACACCCTCGCCATGTCCTTCTGCACCAATGAATTCATCGTTTTTCCAGATCTCTCTAGACGTTTCGATTCCCGCGTCCTACGGGTTGCCGTGCACATGTCATTGTCCGGGTGTCAACCATTTCATCAGCTTTTCGTCGTTCCATCCCATTCCCGCTTCCCCCGTCTTTTTATTCTTCGTTTGTTGGGGCGCGTTCGCCTTGTAATACTAACAAATAAGTTTTTGCATTAGTCAGAGTATCACACGCGACTTGTTAAATGTTTTCATGTTCCCTTTTAGTAGAGAAAGGGGACTTGGTAATGCTGCATCGACGGGGGATCTCGCCGGATTTCGACTTTATCAAATTTAATTTGTTAATTTTTGGGGAGAGGTGAACTATTCTTCAAAAACTTGCGAATTCGGCAAGCCGATCTTCGTTTCTGGAAATTCGGTGAGGTGCCAAACCAGCGAGGGGCCATTTTGAAAAGGGATCAAAATTTCTCTTTATTGAATATGTGGAAGTCGACAGATAGCATACGCCGGCAATGTACAAGGAAGTGACGTCCAGTTACCGGTGCCACTATTCAGCCCGACGCATTTGTATGTTGGCTCCCCTGTAATTATTTGAGGCTACTCCTGGACTATCCACTTTACCTGGCGCCCACTTTCCGTAATTGTACTGCGACCCGTCAAACCATTCCCAGTCGTTCTGATGTGCCACCTGGTTGTGCCATAGGCCAATGATGTACACGCTGTCCTTTTTGACTATTAGGAAGTTATAGCTACATGGGAGCACCCTATACCTGCTTGGGCTTTCGCCGTCATTATTTGGTTTTCAAAAAGGCTGTGGATTGAGACGAGACCTCCGCCGAGTCCTATGCAGACGCCTTCCTGATCGAATGGCGCGTATGCTGAAGGCGGGCTATGGGTCCGTTTTTCTTAAAACTTACTATCCATTACAAAATGTAGACATTGTTCGATCTCAGAGGCATCGACAGTGCCGTTGGGACATGTTTTAGCGCTGATACCAGCAAAGAAGGCGAGGATCGTGATGAGGACCAGCATTTCAGACAGAATTTTTGGCTTCTTGGGGGCCAATGAAGCCTTTATAGCCTGCCATGTGCTGACTGCACTGATACGGCGATCTTTGGGTTCGACACCCGGAATCACTCAGTCATCCTGGGCTTTTGTGCTTTTTGGAGGCGCTGATTTTGACTTTACTTGATGGTAGGAAGCCGGATAATGTTTTTTTCAAAACGTGAAGAGGTTTATTAGGTAGTTTATCGCATTTTCTTGTCATCTTAGGTATCATTTAGCAAAATATTTATTCATAAACTTGGTTTTATTAGTTGAAAAATGGGAGACCCGTGTTAGCGGAGAAGTTGAGCGTGCAGGAAAGCGAGCAGGGTTAAAATCCCTGAAAAAAAAGTTTAGTTAGTTGGTGTTAAAGCTCGAAAAGAATTGCTCGATTTCGATTCCATTTTGGGAAATTTTCTGACCAAATGAGAAGCCCGAGCTGGTTTTAGTGGTGGTGGGCTGCGGCGGTTGGGCGGTGGAGCCTTGTAGGAAACTGAGGTTTTGACACAGCTGAAGGTGGGTTATTAGATTTTGGTAGCGTTCTGGATCTTTTCGGTTATTTTCTGACGTTTCCACTTACCTTGGCGGCGTCGCCTGGGTTGTACAGGTCGGCCTGTTTCCGGAAAACGTCCACATCGCAGAAATCCCCTCCGCCGCATCCTTTTACGTATTTGGTGATGGTTTCGAAGGGCGGCTCGAGTTGGTCTCCTTGGTGGTACATTAACTGAAATTTTTTTGGGTTAAGGTTTCGGTTCTTTGTCAGTATCGGGGGGGGGATGAACCTTTACTTTGGACCAATTTTTTTCTGTAGAGATTGCGGAGGTGCTTTTCCAATGTTTTTGCTATCGTAAACGCAAAAAAATGAATTTGATCAAAACTAGACAAAAAGTAGCGCCTTTGAAGCGAATTTTTGACTTATTGGTTAGTTTTGTAAATAGTTTTCAACCGGAAAGACAGCTAATTTTTTCAAAAATCCTCTATTAGATTGCTAGTAATTCGTTTCATATAAATATTCCTTACTTACCCTAAAGTACGGCTTTCCGGTCTTGTCCTGATACAGCTCGACCATGGCCGCCGAAGAATATAGCGGATATCCATCGGGGACCACCTAAAATTTCCAATCCATTTTTTGGTTTTTGTTTTGTTTTACATCATCCTTGATGCCCATTGTCGCCAAGAAGCTGGCGATCGTCTCATCGTGCTAAAATACATAAAGTCTTAGTTTTTAAAGGCTAGGCGAGTTTTTTAGCCAAAAACTCACAGCCGAATACGCGAAATACTTTAGTCGATTCATCCACGTGCAATTTCGCGTGGTTTGGCCCTGGCAGGCGAGCTAAAAAAAAATCAATTAAAAAGGCTAGAAGAGCTTAATTTTATATACCTTCAGATTCATGTGCATTCGCATGTCATTCGTGAGAGCCCCGACGCGCAACTTTGGCAACTCGACGGAAAAGTCGATCCCGTTGAACGGGGAAAGGCCTGAAAAGTAATTTAAAGCAATTGTTTTTAGGGTTCCAAGGTGCAAAAAAAATAAATTTCCTGCGCAAAAAGCTATCTAAGACTAAAAATAACGATTTTCAAGCAAAATTCAAATTTTTAACATTTTTAGGGATGGGCCTTTAAAACCTTTAACCTTAAAAGGTTTTAAAATCTAACCTATTCCATCCTGCATGTCCTCCAGACGGTTGTTGATCTTCGTCAGATTGTCCATCAACTGTTGCGACCACCATTTGGGCATTTCCAGTTTGTTAACGTTCTGAAGGTATCATGAATAAGTTACCCAAGTTTTGGGGATTTGACAAGTTCTTACTACACTTACCTCAATGAAAAGCACATCGTGGATCATCCACAAATCGTCCACTTTATAGGTGATGTTGACGGCTTGGCGCAGCGTTTCGATTAGTTGTTGCGTCTAAAAATACAACGTTATTGGGCTTAGGCTTAGGCTTAGGCTTAGGGCTTAGGCTTAGGCTTAGACTTAGGCTTAGGCTTAGACTTAGGCGTAGGCTTAGGTTTAGGGTTTGACTTAAGCTCACCCCCGGCTCGTTGATCAGCGCCTTCACTTCCGGGCAATTGTCGTAGGCCAGTTTCCAGAGCGCATCTTGACGCGGGCAGTAAGCATTAGCGTTTCCGAGCTAAAAGTCGTTAAGGTTAGTAAGTTTGGAGTCGCACTCACGTAATCGGTATTATCATCAACGGTGTGGATAGCAATCGGGCGGAATCCGGTTGGCCAACTGAAAGTTCTACTATTAGAGAGCCAGAGAGAGAGAGAATGAGAAAGAGAGAGAGAGAGTGAGAGAGAGCCGAGAGAAAAAGAGATTCGACCTACTAGTATTTCTCGTTGCTAAAATCCGGATAATCCTCGCCGGGTACTGTAGAATTATCCTGCGAGTACATCCCGATCAAATTTGACATGGCCGAGATGATGGTCCGGTTGACGTCCGTGGAACGGATGTAAATCTTCAATTTGTTAGTTTAATATACTATAATCATGGGGGAAACGGCAAAATACCGACAAGCCAAAAACTCGACATGCAAAATAGCCGCTTAAAGGGAAATTGGATTAAAATTAGCGTCAATAATCTGTCGTTGTTTTTTTTCTGTAGGTTTTTCGTCCAATCTGGTTTTATCTGTCGCTATTTTGGCCTGTCGGGTTTCTGGCCGAAATCCTAAATCCTCACCCACCTCATGCGCATTATAGCGTTGACTCAAAAAGTCTTTGTATCGAGTTTTCAAGGCATCTCCGAGACGAACGTGCATCGCCATGCCTCTCTAAACGTTTGATTCATACCTAAATTTTTAGCTAGCGCCATCGATTGTAAAGCCTAAAATAAAGCCGTAATTACCGTGGTCAACTCGCCGTATCCTCCTCGTTTCTCCCAAAACGCTTGGTCGTAGGGGTCGCCGGGGTAGGGATCAGTGGGATTTCGATCCCCATGTCGCCACACCTTGAATTGAATTTTATTGGGAGGCTTAGAAGATGCTGGAAGAAAACGAAGCTAGATGCTTCAAGAGTTTCGAAGCTTTTGAAGCTAAGAAGCTTAGCATCAGTTTGAAAAGCCCCGCAAAGACAGAAAAAGTCAGAAAACTCTAGAAAAAGTCATCAGTAACTTGCGCCAGGCTTGAAAAATTCTAAACTAAAGAAAAACGTGCAAATAGCTTAAATATTAGCACAAAATTATTGTAAAACTGGGCCGTTTTTTAGTTCAAAATCGGGATTATGCTCTTAAATCTGAAAAACGCATAAACTTACAATCTGCACGAGCTGAAGCGTCAAATCGGCTTCGTTCACGGCTTGCAGTGACGAGGCCAACAGGAAAAAACCCAGCAAGATTCGCGGGATCATCTGAATGTCACAAATTTGTAAAAATAGGGTAAAATTTTGTAAAGCTTTTCAGGAAAACAAGCAATTTTTAAAACCTGAAACCCAGTGTCTGAAAGAAATCGCAAGCGCCATCCATGCGAACCCAAAAAGAGCACATTTTAGTTAGCTAAACACCAGGAGGATTTGCGGAACCATCTGAATGCCAAAAATCGTAAAAAGTGCGCATGACCGGACATTCAAGAGAACCGGCGATTTTTAAATGTTAAAAAGCTGAAAAAATCTTTCAAAAGTCTATGGTCTGAAAGTTCGGTTAAAAAGTTAAGGCCATAAACGTAAAAACGCCCAAAAAAGGCGAGAACGCCCCAAAAACCGCACGTTTTGGCTAAACATCAGGAAGCCGCCGTCATAAATTTCCGAAAAAAGGTGGCGTCGCGTTTAGATAGCAGTTCCAACCGGCGTTGGGACAAAATCGCGGCCCTGATAAGGAATTCCCTAATTCGCTTAAGCTGACGAGTACTCGCAAGCACTTTGCTGGCGTGGCTCAAAATGGAAAGGCCAAAACACACGTATACTAAGATTTATTTAGAACCAGGGTTGAAAAACCGCTTCGCGGCTTTTCAACCCTGGCCCCGTCCAGGACCTGTGAAAGTCCTTAATTTGCATGTTTCTTCCTGAATTCTAGCAAGAAAAAAGTGAAAAACGGCTCCTCTGTCCCTTTATATAGACTCTTCCTACTTCCGGCGCATGTTAAATTCCCCTAACAAACTGGGTTTTACAAAAACCTATTTTTAATAGCGAAAACCACAATTTTTCAAAATTTTTATGTGTGTGCAGTCGATTCCGGACCATTCTAAACCTATTGTCGTTTCTTCCCTATCCAAAAAACCTTTCCCCGAGGCTGTAGGTGCGGAACATCCAAACGGAAGTGCATGCAAATATACACACACACACACAGACACTATTTTTTTATATATAGTAGGATATAGGATTTGTAAAATAACTCGAAACTTCAATTTTTTACATACATTTGGAATTAAAAAAATTCGATAAAACAAAATTCGACAAAATAAATTTTGGGTAGTGGTAGTATTATTAATATTAAGGTATACTTAGTAATATTAAACCTACCTTTTAATAGTGTTTTTATAAAATTTAGCCATATTTCATGTGGAAAACTATCTAAAACATTTACCAAGTCTCGAAAAATGTGAAATTTTGTCGAAAATCGGTAATTTTCGTCAAAACCTCGATATTTTTCCGCTTTTTATAAAAATTTGAAAGATGTTAAGCCTAGGAGAAGTGGAAAAAATATCAAATTTAATGAAAGTTTGCCCCCCCCCCCCCCCCTAATGCAAAACATCCGGAAAATGATTTTTTAAATGGCAGAGGCCGGCTTACGATAGCCGATTAATGGAGAAACGAAGAGTGGAGTGTTTAGAGACTGCCCCGGCTTCACCCGCACGAGATCAACAATGGCCCAGACGGACGGTATTTACCGAATTTTCATCCTCGCGAAAATCACGGGCAATTGAAGGGCTCTATTTGTGAGAAATCGCGCCAAAAAGCGGCGGAACCTCTGGCTCCAAACATCAGAAAACGATTTTTACTGTAAAGCTGGCATATGAAAAGTATTGATTTAAAAAGAATCAAACTCTATGAAATCGAGGGTGCTTGTGCATTATCGGAGGGGGGTATTTTGGGCAAACCAGAAACTATGAAACTCAAGGCCCGGCCACTGGGCCGGGCCAAGGCAAAAACAAGTAACCTGAAAAGGTCAACTAGCCGCTCGCGGGGATTGTTTTCCGGGTGCCACCGCACCGGTTCTGAGGCGCTCCGTTTTGTTTCCGTCCGCCCAAACCGATGAGTATCTACGACCAAAGCTACGACCGATCTGAGTGTTGATTCGATGATCATATGTGAGAAAAGGCGCATGAACCAGGCGCGCGACTGGGCATCACGGAGTCGACTAGGGACGGTTTCTATTTTTTTCACGGCTTTTTAGTGTCTCACTTCCTTTAAAATGTAAGGAAGGATATAGAGGGTTATTAAGACCTATACGAAGCCTAAACTGAACCCAGGCCCGGCCCATTTCCATCTCCTGCTCTCTCTCTCTCTCTCTCTCTCGCTCTCTCTCTCTCTCTGTCGGGTAATTCCTAGGCGAAAATCCCGATAATGCTCAAAAACCATACCACTTTCTGATATGGAGTTTAATCCCAAAAAAGATTGCATGCTTGATGACGGCAGCCTGTTTTTGGTTTGCCGGAAACGGTATGCACGTTGCTCTCTCTCTCTCTCTCTCTCTCTCACGTTCTCTCTCTCTCTATCTCTCTCTCACGTCTCTCACTCGCTCTCTATCTCACAAGCCACAAACCATGGTATCAGCCACAAGTCAGAGGTCTCTTGTTGAGTCGAGCGAACCGCCGATAAATACGCATGGCGGCGACAACCGGAGTGGTCATTTCTCAATGTTTTTTTGCGAGCAGGATCACGATCTTTTAGAGTTTTTAAACTTGTTAAATACCTTAGCTTCATAGCTTTGTGCTAAAGGGGTATTTTTAGGCCGTTTCTTCATTTTTATGGGGAAAAATTACCAGAAAGTTTAGATTTTGTCAGGTAGAAAACACGACGTTTTGGAGCTGATTGTGTCAAAAAACGGAAACGTTTAGAAAGTTTTGCAAGTCTTGTTGAGAATTTTACGCCCTATCAAATGAGTTATGTTATTTTTAAAAATTGATAATTATTCAGAATTTAACAGCGTTAAACTCGATTTTTCAGATTAGCCAACGCAGCGAATGCTGCTCACTCTCATTTTAATAGCTGCCTCGGCGGCGCTCACCTGGTATTTGATGTAAGTCAGTTGGCATAGATTTTTTGCTACCTAATTCATTAAATAGAGCGATTGAATAATCGTAAATCTCTTTCCAGATGGGCCTTCAAACGCAGCCACTATTGGCAGGGCCGTGCTGTGCCAGGGCCAAGGGGTAAATAACTTTCAACTCAATTTTTTTCGGCCCTATATTAGCATTTTAGATTCTAGACTAATTAGATCTTGTTTTCCAGGTCATGAGCTACATTTTTCTGTATCTTAGGACCTTTTATCTTCAAGCGAATCTGAGATAGAGATTTTTCAAGTTTTGGACCTGGACCCGAAAAACCGTTATCTGCGTTAAATTTTTATAAAAGTGTTCCAGTTATTTTTGAGTGTAGAAAATTAATAAACTTTGTAATTTTTTTATAGATTTTAGCGCACGGGAAAATGCTTAGGAACGTTTACACTACCTACTTTCAGGCTCGTTCCCGTTCGGCGTCATCTTCGAGGTGCTCGACCCGGCGCATCCATGGATGTACAAATTGACCGAGTATACAAAGGTAAGGTGGCTTACGCCTAAGCCTAAGCCTAAGCAAAACCTGAGTCCAAGCCTAACCTAAGCCTAAGCATAGGCTCGGCCTACGCCTAACCCTAACCCTAAGCCTGAACTTCGATGATCGAATACTCTCTAAAAATCCTTTTTTTTCCCGTTTTCGGGGGCACTGATCTTTTTGCAAAGCGAAGCGGCTCCAAAATCCGTACGTTTGCCGGGAAATTTTTGAGTGATCACTCCGCTCACGGGGTCGACATTTGGGATAGGGAAAAAGAGACAGAAAATGGCACAAACCAGAGACTTTCGGGGTCCGAGGAGTTTTGTGGCCGATTGGCAGAATTTCGGGGTTTGGGCCTCGGCCTAGCTTAGGCTTAGGCTTAGTCTTAGGCTTAGGCTTTGGCTTAGCTTAGGCTTAGGCTTAAGCTTAAACGTTGGATTAGGCTCAGGCTTAGGTTGTGCTTAGGCATCGCTTGGGCTTAGACTGACAGCTACTGCTTAAAGTAAACAAAAACCGGGAAGCAAGCCTAAAATTAAAATAGTTACCGGCACTTTTTCCAGAAATTCGGCAAAATCTGGGGCTACCAAGAGGGCATGTTCAACGTCCTCGTGGTCGCCGACCTCGAGCTGAGCAACGAGGTTCTGCACAGACGTTTTGAGGAGTTTCCGGAGCGTAAAGTGAGCTTGCATTTAACTTCAAAACACTGAAGTCATTTAGGGAAATCACTTGATAAAGCGGGGCCCGAAAGATGCGCGCGTGCACCTTGCCGAGGCATGGGGCCAAAGGTGGAAGCGGCTGCGCACCATCGTCACTCCTCAATTTTCGAATAATTCTTTGAAAAAGGTAGACGGTGGGAGAGAGACAGAGAGAGAGAGAGACAGATAGAGAGAGAAGAGAGATAGACAGCGAGAGAGAGACAGAGAGAGAGAGATAGAGAGAGAGAGAGAGAGAGAGAGAGAGAGAGAGAGAGAGAGAGAGAGAGAGGCAGAGAAGTAAGCGCGAGAGAGACCGAGGGAGAATTCAAGAAAAAGGCAGACGAAATTCTAGGTCCTACCTATCATCAACGACTCCTCCCGGCACCTTGCCGCCCACGTCGGCAAGCATGTCGATCAAAAATCAATCAATATCCATCGGTACTTCAAATTAGGCATACCGTATTCTGGGTGCATTTTAGTTACTACCAAGAATATACAATGGACGTGATAGCTCGCATCGCAATGGGTGTGCAGGGGAGCCGTCAATGGAACAGCCAGTTTCCCGACATTTTGAGAGGGGTACGGTAATTTTAGCGATTTTTAGCAACACTTTTTGTCACATTTATAAAAGCTGCCAAGGAGCCATAAACGATATTTTTAGATTTTTGAGCGCGATGGGCGACAACCGATCTTCCTGCTAGCCGTCGCCGCCCCGTTTTTGAAACCGGTACTGTGGTGATTTAAATAGCATACTCTTCCGTTTCCAGATCCTCCACCCGATCTTCATGAAGCTGTCCAAGCTGATGAAGATGCCGGCCAGCGTCCTTTTTGAGCAGATCGAGCGGGCTGTCGCCGAGCGCAAGAAGCTGAGGGTAAGCAGGCCTAGGCTTACGTTTAGGCTTAGGCTTAGGCTTAGACTTAAGCTTAGGCTTAGGCTTAGGCCTAGGCTTAGGCTTTGGTTTACATGAATGAACATCCTTGCAATCGAATTCTGACCTCCAGGAATCCGGCACGTTCACCAGCAACGACTTTATCGACCTGTTCCTCGACGCCGAGTCCAACATCGACCATTCAAAGGAGGGCGCCTACGATCGACGTGACGTGAATGTGAGTATTGTTTATTACGGGAGAAACCTTGGTCTTTTGGCTTAAATATATTTTAGGTGTCCCGAAAACTCACCGAAGACGAAGTGATCGCCCAGTGCTTCGTCTTCCTCCTGGCCGGCTTCGACACGACGGCCAACACCCTGGCCTACGTCTCGCATTTCTTGGCTCAAAATAAGGATATACAAGATCGTGTGCGCGAGGAGATTGACAGCGTCTGCACCACGGAGGTAGGAGAGAGAGAGAGAGAGAGAGAGAGAGAGAGAGAGCGCGGGGGAGAGAATGAAAGAGCTTTTTCAGGAAGTCACCTACGAGCAGCTGGCAGACCTGAAGTTTATGGACTGCGTGACGAAAGAGGGACTACGCCTCCATCCTCTGGCTACTGTGTAAGGATTAGACATAGGCTAAGGCTTCTGCTTAGGCAAAGCTACAATTTAGGCAGACGAGTCGGAAATTACCCATTTTCAGCGCGGTCAGCCGCATTGCCGAGAACAACTGCGAGCTGGCCGGCATCAAGATCGACAAGGGCACCATTATTCAGGTAACTGCTTAAGAACGATCACTAACAATAAATTTTTAGATTGACGCCTACACACTCGGGCGCAGCAAAGAAATCTGGGGCGACGACGCCGAGGAGTTTGTGCCGGAGAGGTGGGCAAGCTAGCAGGGATTTTTGGGGGAATTTGGATGTTGTAGATGAACCAGTTGGAATTAAGGTGGATGAACGCGACGGCCGAGCAAAAAATGGCGTATCTACCGTTTGGATCTGGGCCCCGGATGTGTGTAGGTAGGTATAGGAAATTCTCTCCCTCTCGCTCGCTCTCACTCTCGCTCTCTCTCTGTCCCTCGCTCTCTCTCTTTATCGCTTCCGCTTCCAGGCAATCGATTGGCTTACAACGAGGAAAAGATGGCGCTCGTTCAACTGCTCCGAAAATATGAGCTTTTCCCATGCCCGGAAGCTAGTGTAGGTTTTTCATTTTTCAAAGGGGCAGGGTCGCTTCGTATTTTAGCTTGAAAAACCCGTATTTTTAATTTTTCAGGGTCTCGAACTGAAGGGAGCAATCACAATCTCGCCTGTCTCCGTCGATCTTCTCATCAAAGAAAGAGCACCTCCTTCAGCCTAAGCCTAAATCTAAACATAACCTTATTGACTTATCCCCAACTTTTTGCCTTTTAAATTATGTATAAAAACTACGAGAAATACCGTCTGATATGCATCGCTAATTGTACTGCTTAATTTTATAATTTTATTGATTCCATGTATATAAATCGTTCTATTAAACGGTTTCTATAGTTTTCTATTAATTTCCCTTTTAAAATACACTTTTTGGGAAGCATGACATTAGTGCAGAGACGAGGACCTTTTCAACCGATCTGGCGGATGGATCGCCATGACCTGATGGCTGACTGGCTACGAGCTCCATCTCCCAGTTTCCAGACCCCGGTTCGACCCTGGGCACCCGCTGAACTTTCCCTTCGCTGGCCATCATTCCCCGGAGGGCTAACGTGCGGGTAATAGTAGAAGAGTCCTAATATCATGAGAGAACTCCTTTAATAGCTACATTAGTGGAGTCTGCGATTTGGGCAACATTTTTTTGTAGTTATTTTGATGGGAAGCAAGATTGTCTTCTTTCCAATGGTAAATTTCGAAATTTATTGATGTTTTTCGAATTCTCCAGGTCGGGACGAGCATTTTGGCATAATTTACCGGTCGGTAGCTGAAATTGAAGGCAAATTACAGTTATTTGAAGTTCTTGGAGGCACCTTACCTTCTCTTTTTAGCAATTAGTATACTATTAAATGTGTCGGCCCTCGTTTTTCTATACTACACAATTTAATTATACCTTTTCACGTTAAAGCTAGAGCTTTTGTTGACAAATTTCTAAAAATCTGGGCCATAGCGTGACCGCGGGGGCGCCAACCCTTTTCTCTCTCCCCCACCGACCCATCCCGCTGATGGGCGTGGTCAAATGGTTAGCTCTTCGCCTCCCGTGTCTCACTATCCGGGTTCGACCCCCCGCCCCCTCATAACTGTCCGGCCACCGCCCGTCTGTGGAGGTCGGAAATCAAGAGGGGCAGAGCGGAAGCATTTCTGTAAATGTACAAGAGTTCTCGATGGCTTGTACATGCTCCAAACTTGCGTACAATTCTTGGATTTTGCAATTTTACGGGTAATGCATTTTTGCTAGATTACAACTTTTGATGTGGTTTCTACCATTCCAAATCTGCAATTCGAGGGTTTTTAGGGGGAAAACGCTGTTTCCAGGTCAAAAAAATACAAAAGAAAACGTAATTTTATTATTTTGAAAAATACACAGTATCAGACTTTGCAGGGTTCCGGATTAGACCCCGGTTCCAACGGCATCTGGTGTATTGGAGCGTCGCGTAGCGCTTCCTCATCAGTTTTTAAGGCTTTTTATACATATTGATTTTTATATCCATAAAAAAATTAAATTTCCATTTTTGCAAAACTTTATTCGCTCCCTGGCATGCGCATCACAAGCGGAAGGGCAATGGTGTGGAAGGTCAGATCAGCCGGGGGCAATTCGATAGCCTAGATACTACAGAAATCAGGGGGCTGGCTAGTGGCGAGTATGGTCTGGTGGCCGTGGCGTCAGTCGTTTAGAGGAGTCGCAGCATCGAGGCGAGTAGCGAGACAACGGTGAGCATGAGGCCTGAAAGGAGCTCGGCTAGTAAAATTTAAATTTCAACTTGAAAACTTGAACTAAACTACGATTTTAAAGTTTCACAAAATTCGAAAATTTTGTCGACAATTGGCATGGCATCGTTGGTCGAACCATCGTTATTTTTGCTTTTTTTTAAACTTGTCAAGTATTAGCTTATTAATAGTAAAAAACAGTTATGAAACACTGCCTCTATTTATATTAGGAAATTTTAGAAAAAAATGGATCCTCAAAAAAGTTGTTTGTCCTCCCCCGATAATGCAAAAAGAACCACTTTCTTAAAAGCTGGATCTTGCTCAGAATTTCAAGCTTTTTAAAATGAGCTAGATAATGAGCAAAAGAATCCTGAGCTACCCCAGTGAGTCCAAGAGGTCCCACCTAGCCGCACTTGTTCAGCAACATTTGCCGGAGGTGGATCCTCTCTCTGCGTTTGGATCGGAGTTGGCGAAGGAGCCGTAACGCCCAGGTCTTTGCACATCTAAAATGACAAATATTAGCGGAAAAAAAGCCTTCTTCTACCACTTCCGGCAGGCCACCCCATTTTGCGAAAGAGAGCTCGGCGGCCAGCTGAAAAATCGGGATTTTTTTTGTGAAAAACCCTCACCTTGCGGTAGTTCTCCAGCGGGCAGTAGATGTGCGAGCCGTTGCAGATGGGCACCTGGTCGGTGAACACTGTGAAGCCGTCCTGGTAGCCGTTGTGGTAGACGAACTACAATTAGTATGATTTTTAGCGGTACCTTTTCCGTACTTAGGGGGAACTTTCAAAATGTGGATATTTACGGTGCTTTCGCCTAATCGGGGGGGGATCGACTTTTTCTTGGGATCACATCTTTCAGTCACCATAAAGGAAGCCTTTCGCCTAAACTTTAAAACCGTCATGAAAACTACCAAAAAATACTGTTTTTCGAATAAAAATTGTCGATTTTCGACCCAGTTTCAAACAATACATTTTTTCAAAATTTAAAATGTTTTATGCTAAAAATCTGGTTAGCTTTTACCAAAAACACTATACAAATACTTTTTATTACTTTACTAGACATTTCTGAATTCATAAACAAAAAAATCTGTTCGAAAAACATCAAATACTATACAAAAAAAAATCTAATTATGAAAACTTGCCATTATAATTTGCGAAATTATGAAATTTCAACATAATGACCGCTTCTCAGCTCACCTTGACATAATCATTGCCTGCCCTGTCGCGCCAGTACTCGGTGATGACGGCGGCCGAGTAATGGGGGTAGCCTCCGTCCTTGATCACCAGCTTCTCCGAGTTGAGCGCGGTCAGGTAGGCGTACAGCGTCGTGTCGTGCTGGAAATTCGGCTGGTAAAGCATTTTTGTCAGAGATTTACCGCCGAATACACGAAATACTTGAGCCCCTTCATCCACTGGCTGCAGTTGACGCCGGTCTTCGCCACGCAGTCGCGCTTTTGCGAGATGTGGTCGTTGACTTTAATAATTTTGCTAAAAATTAAGTAATTTGACTTACAGAGGTTGAACATGGCGCCCGAGCGGATGCGGCGAATCTCGGCGGAAAGGTCGAGCCCGTTGACTGGCGGGATTCCTAAATCGTGCCGCGATTAGCACATCTACAAGCGGTTCAAGCTGTTCCAAGTTTGAAAATCAATTAGCGGTTCCTTTGCATTATCGGGGGGCAAGCTTTCTATCTACGATCCACTTTTCTTTTTTAATATGAAACATTAATGAAGTTGTTTTACCGTTTCATAACAGTTAAAATGTTGAAAAACGAGACAAAAAATACAAACATGCGAAAATGCAAAAAAAGTTTTTGTTCGAATTTTCCATTTTAAGGCCGTTTTAAAACTTGGAAATAATGGAAATTTAGCTTTAATAAAAAATCGAACTCTAAATTTTACCAAAAATCCATTATAATATTTTCTGTCTCGAAATTCGCCCCCCCCGATAATGCCAAAGAACCCCCAATGCCCCACCGATGCCGTTGACGAAATCCTGGACCTGGTTGTTCAGGTCGAAGAGGTCCACGTACAAGTCGTCGGTCATCCACGCCGGGTTGGTCCTGTTGTAGGCGCGCTAAAAATTCGACTATTTTTGACTGCTGTCGTATTATAAAATTCTAAAATCTCTATAAATACGCATCAAAGGCGACAGACTATGAACCTCCTGAAGATGTTGCCAACCTCAATGAAGAACGCGTCGACCACTTCCCACAAGTTTTCGTAGTTGTACGGCTTGCCGCACTTTTCGGTGAGCAGCGCGAAGATTTTCTTGTTCTAAAAAAGTTTGTTTTTGGCTGGAAAATAGCCACATTTTCATCGTTGAGCAGGGCCACAAAGTCGGGGGTCTCTTCCGCCATTTTCCGCAAATGTTCGTGACGCGGGCATTTGGCATCCGGGTTTCCGCACTGGAAGGGCAGGGGATCGGTAGTGGACTGTTAGCGGGGGGAGACAATTTTTTTTCTTTTAACCTACTACCAGTTAACGATATCTAGTGCATTTTTATAGTATTTGAGTCGTTTTCGATTGATAGAAAGCTCTAAAAAAGTTTTTTAAATCGATAATTTTCAAAATCTCTACTTTTTCTATTGCTTTTTCATAGATTTTTGATCAAAATGTAAAAAAACAATTTTTATGTACTTTTTCCATCTAAAAAATTGTAAAATGCCATAAAAATGATTCACTATAGCTTCCTACGACATTTTTCCGGGAAAATGGGACCCCCGCTAACAGTCCAGTACCGGGAAAGCTGTATCTTTTAAATACATGTAAAGCCAATTTAAAGTGCTGCTTACAAAATCGGTGGGGTTGACGGTGGTGTGGATTGGGATCGGGATGTAGAAGGCGGGCCACGTGTAGTTAGAATCGGGCCCGAAATCCGGGATGTTGCCCCAGATGCCCTTGGCGGCGCCGCCCTGGCCGTACATTCCTGGGAAAAACCAATATCTTGGCACCAATTTGAGCTAAGAGGCTGTAAAGTATACCAAAATGTTTGCCTTGATCTGTAGAGTAAGAAGAGGATATATTTGAGTAGAAAAAGTAGTAAAAGACAACAAATTTAGAACTGGAAAAAGCGGAATTTCGAAGGCGGAACAGAAAAATTCATGAATTATATAGGGTAGGATTACCGATCGTGTTGGAGATGGCGGACAGCAGCGTGCGATTCAGGTCGGTGGACCGGAAGTAGACCTAAAATGCCCATCAGACGCCTTTGGGCACACATCACCTCGTCAGCCCGGTAGTGCGGCGACAGGAAGCCGGTGTCGATGTACCGCTTGCGCAGCTTCACGCCCAGCTCCACGTGCTGCTGCATGCCGATCTGAACGTAGTGATAAAGCGGTATAAAGTCGTATCAAGCCACAAACCGGCGACAATTGGCCCCAGCCACCGCCGCCAAAAATCCATTGGTCGTCCTGGATCGGGTCGGTGGCGCAGGTTGTTGTGGGGGAGCGATCACCGTGGCGCCAGATCTATTTTTTTATTAAAATTCGATTTTTCCAATATTAATAGAGGATGTTTTACGCTGTTTTGATTACCCTTAAACGCAAATTTTTCAGAATTACGCTAAAAATACGAAATTTTAGATTCCTAGACCGAAACCCTATTTTCCAAAATTTTTGAAATTTAAAAATAAGTTTCTATACTTGAAATACAGGCCAATTGGTCAAAAAAAACCACTAAAAACTTGCTATTATGTTATTAGACATTCCTATGATCACAAGCAAAACCTTCGACCTGCGAAAATCAGCTTTAAAAGTCTAAAATAAAATCAACGATACCTACCACTTGCACCAACTGGAGGCTCTTGTCGCCATCGATCGGCAGAGTTTCCGGAGCTTCTTGAGCAGCAACGGCGAGGAAAAAGAGCAGCAGCAGGCGGGCAGCCATCAGCCAGACCTCACCGTTGTCAGAATATCGAGAAACGCCATATCGAACGATTTGAACTTATGCAAAGGAATCCCTAGATTGTAATTTTTACACGCTGAAGCTGACAGTAACCGTTTTTTGTTGACCGTGGGATTTCGATACGTGAGATAGCACATTTTGTGCAGAATTTTTCGCTGATTCCGAATCCGTTTTCAAAAGTTGCGGAACCCCTCTAGATAAAAAGTTACAGCCGGTTTTCTACCCCAAATGACCGAAAATTACAAACTTTAAATCCTTATAAAAAACTCGTGAAACATTTTGTGGGATAAAATACAGCACTCCTCGGGGTAAAAAAACGTGCTCTTTCGAATGGGCTACCTCACGAACCCGTAGCTCAAAATTCACAAATTTTCAAAACTTGGCCATCCAGGGTCCACCGAAAAACTTTTTTTCATGAATTTTGAGCTACGGGTTCGTGAGGTGGCCCATTCGAAAGAGCACGTTTTTTACCCCTAGGAGTGCTGTATTCTATCCCACAAAATGTTCCACGAGTTTTTTATAAGGATTTAAAGTTTGTAATTTTCGGTCATTTGGGGTAGAAAAGCGGCTGTAACTTTTTATCTAGAGGGGTTCCGCAACTTTTGAAAACGGATTCGGAATCAGCGAAAAATTCTGCACAAAATGTGCTATCTCACGTATCGAAATCCCACGGTCAACAAAAAACGGTTACAGTGAGGCATAAACGCTTTTCAATGGAGGAGTAAAGGTCGGGGTGTTTGTTCAGCGTGATGTGGTGCGTATCAGTTTTTTTGTTCGATTTTTTTATCGTTCCATAGGCATGAATCCTAGTTGAAGCATTCTCTACTAAAAATAAGCTGAAAGGCCAATGGAAAGTCTAATAAATTATGGGAAACTGGTAAATATACAATTTTGAACGCGAGCATATTCTGCGCGTCTTGAAGTTGTTGTGATTTACAGGAGCCGCACCATCGAGATGAGCGTCAAAACCAACCCGACAATGCCTATAAAGTTGCTAACAGTTTGACAAAATCAAGTTTTTGTTACTTTTCATTCCATTTTCGAAGATTTTTTGAGACCTACCGAGTGCTGTTTGAGCCGCCTTCGTCGTGGTGGCTTCAACTTTAGGTGTACTGCTCGCAGATGACGCAAAGCTTACATCGGCACACATCTAGAAAAAGGCGAGTTCGACAAACGCAATATCAGGCCAAGCTAGTTTACCTTTTCCGGGCTGCCCCACTTTGCAAACGAGAGATCCGCCGCGTGCTATAAATTCAGGTTTTCAGAGTTTATTCGAAAACGTATAACCCGAAGTTTGCCTCCAACCTGGCTGTAGTTCTCCAGCGGGCAGTAGATGTGCGAGCCGTTGCAGATCGGCACCTGGTCGGTGAACACGGTGAAGCCGTCCTGGTAGCCGTTGTGGTAGACGAACTAAAACTATAGAACTTTCGCCTATGAAGATTACCTTGACATAGTCCTTCCCCGCCGTATCGCGCCAATACTCGGTGAGCACCGCGGCTGAATAATGCGGATATCCACCGTCCTTGATCACCAGCTTCTCAGAGTTGAGCGCGGTCAGGTAGGCATACACCGTCGTGTCGTGCTGAAGATGAGCTTTTAGCGTAATTATAGCTAACAACTCACTGCCGAATACACAAAATACTTGAGATTTTTCAACCAATGGCTGCACTTGGTCCCGTTGGATGTGACACAATCTCGTTTTTGCTTGATTTGATCGTTAACTAAATTAAATTGTAAAAAAGGGGAATATCTTCGTCTTACAGAGGTTGAACATAGCGCCCGAGCGGATGCGGCGCGTCTCCGTCGAAATATCAACTCCATTAAGCGCAGATACACCTGAAAATTGCATATTGTAGATGCTCTTCACCTAGGACTGTCCCTTATACATAAAATTCAGCGAAAAACGCACCGATCCCGTTGACAAAGTCCTGGGCGATGTTGTTGAGATTAAAAACGTTGTTGAAAAGGTCGTCATCCATCCATGCCGGGTTGCTGAGATTGTAAACGCGCTAGAACTCTTTGTTTTGTCTAAAAGAACGACATCTACCTCAATGAAAAACGCGTCGATGACCTCCCAGAGATCCTCAAGCTTGTACTGCTTGCCGCACTTCTCGGCAAGTATGGAGAAGACCTTTTTCGTCTGAAAAAAAGTTCTATAAAGTCAAAAAACACCGCTAAAACCCACATTGTCATCATTGAGCAGCTTCGAAATTTCGGGCGTCGTTTGTGCGGTTTGCCACAAAGCGGTTTGGCGCGGGCAATCGGCGTCCGGGTTCCCGTACTGAAGCCAGTTTTCTATAAGAAAAACTAACTAAAAAACTCACATAGTCCGTCGGATTGTACGTCGTGTGGATGGGGATCGGGATGAAAAAGGCGGGCCACGTGTAGTTGACGTCGGGCCCGAAATCCGGGATGTTGCCCCAGACGCCTTTGACGGCGCTGCCCTGGCCGTACATTCCTGGGAAAACCAATATCTCTGCACGAATCTGTAGCTCTTACAACTTTTACGCTATTCATAACTCACCTATCGTATTTGACACCGCCGACAGTAAAGTACGGTTCACGTCGGTGGACCGGAAGTAGACCTGAAAAGTAGTCACACTTTCAAAAGTCCGAACCGAGCCCACCTCGTCAGCTCGGTAGTTTTCGGCCAGGAATTTGGTGTCGATGTAGCGCTGGCGCAGTTTGTTCCCCAGGGATACGTGCTGCTGCATGCCGATCTGGCATGAAAAGCCGTAGAAAACTTTACAAAGGTACAAACCGGCGACAGTTGACCCCATCCTCCGCCTCCAAAGGTCCATGTTTCCTCTTGGAATTGGTCGGTGCCGCATGTCGTCGTTGGTGAGCGATCCCCGTGGCGCCAGATCTGAAAAAGTTTGATGAGTTTAGCCAATCGCCGGCTGTAAATGACTTCGTGCTCCTCAGGGTCAAGTTGAGGCACGCCATTTGCAGCTCCTTCGCGCGCATCACCTCAGCAAAGTACAACGCAATGATCCCCCACCACTTGCACAAATTGAAGAGTCTTGTCACCATCAACCGGAATATTCTCTTGAGCAGCAACTGCCACAACAAAGAAGAAAAACAGCAGCATATAGTCGCCGGTAGCCATCGCCAAAACTAGTGGGCGCTCGGGGGCAAAAATCTGGACAAGCCTCTTATCAAAATGCGGCCCGAGTTGAACCATTCCAAAGCCGATGCCACCGTTTTGATTCCTGGTCTGTTGAGTGTACTTTTTTGCCAGGCTCATTCGCCGTGAGTAAAAACTGAGCAACTGACAGGAGTAAAAATTTATGCATAAAGAGAAACTAAAAAGTATAAACGCTTGCACAAGTGTCACGGGAGAGATTTAAAATTCAGCAAGAGAGCTTGAATCTACAAAAAAGGTAAAAAGAAAAACGTCTCTTCCACTCTAGTATCTTGAGCAGTGGGTTGGTGAATTCGGGTGTATCGACGGTTCGCCGGAGATCTTTTCGAAGGTGTCTTGTGCGCGCAACGCGGCTCTTTAGTCTAAAAGAAAGTATTGGTAACGGTCGGTAAGCCTTACATGGAGTCGAACGACGAAGATGGGGCATTTGGGCGTTGGAATGGAAGGGCGATGGAGGGGAAGAGGTGGAGGCTCTTGGCGAGACGGGTCCAGCGCCACGATGACCGCCGCCCTCCATCGCGAACGCCGACTGATAAGACTCATCACTCGGCGAGTCGACTTGGTTCGGATGGCTGAAAAAGGTGGTGTAAAAAGAAGACGGCAAAGTGCTTACTTATAACCCTGCTTCCTCGGTTCGTTGGATCCTGCGATCTGCGCATAGGTGCGCGTGTCTTGACCACTCTGCCCCATGTCTTCGCGGTCGTCTTGCAGAAGCTCGTGGGGCATCTCGCGAAGATGTTGTCCGGTAGAGGCTTTCTGGATCAATTCCATAGGCGGCATCCTAAATCAGACGTTGTGAAAAAGAATGACAGATATGATGCCAAAGGTCATAACCGCGAATTTCAAAATCCACTGACCGTTCTCCGGTCTTGTTGGCCGCCGTCACTTCGGCGTAGCTGGTCATGCTTGTTGGCGAAAGGGTAGGCGAGCGCTGCGTCGGTGTCCTGGTTCGGTTCTCCTTGTTGTCCTCGTAATCTAAAAACAAAATTATTTTGCATCAAAACCCAAAATTTACCGCTGTGGTCCTCCCTTGCGTATCGCGGAGTTGGAATTGCTGGAAAGGCGCCATATGCGGAAGCGCGTGAATCACCTGTTTTGCGGGTGTTGGGAAACCTAAAGAACGTTAATAGGGATAGAAGGAAGCAAATAGTTGGCCTTTTTCACGAAAAAATCTAAAGAAAAAACCAACTGCTTCTTGGTGTCGTATCGGACCGGGCGCGCACGGTTGTAATCGACGCGGTCCCCTCTGAATACATACAGCGGCTCGAACAAGGCTTACACTTTGTGATGCATGGCCTGTACATTCGGCGATTCTGTAGTATCCTTGAGCTGCAGCGATATTTTCGACGTCTTGGCTCGCTCGTCGGGTTCCGGCTGGGCACGGGGGAACTCCTCACTCGGAATGCGTCGGATTTCATTCGCCGCCCCGTCCATTTTGGGCTGAAAAAAGGTAATATTCAATTTTACCAGGCGGTACCTGATCATTGTAGTACCGCTGATGGTGCTCATTTCGCATTCTTTCTCCAGAATGATGGCGCGGCTGCATACGACGCAGGTTTTGTTCCGAGTTGCGCGAGTTGTTCAGATTACTCGGGTAGCTGTTTACGTGCGAATTGTTCGACCTAAATTACATGAGCGTTCGTATCGTGAAATGATACCTGGTTTGACTATGACCGTTGTTGTAGCTCGGCTGGCGACTGTACTGATGCTGTTGTTGATGTGCCTCCGCGAGGTTATTGTAGCTGGCGCTTGCGTACTTGGCAGAGTTCCAGTCGCGGTGTGACGTATTTTCGTAGAGGTTTGGCTCAGTGGGAAAGTTCCGGCGATTGCGCTGAAACAAGAATTTGCTTCACTAGGGAAGAAGTTCTTACGTTGCTTCCATAAGCGTCGCGATGATAAAAGTCACTCTGGTTGTAGCTCATCTTGTTGTTGTAGTCGTATCCTCGGTTCTGATAGTTGCTTCCGGCATAGTAGCTGTCGCGACGCGGGAAGTTGTCCTTTCTCATTCCGCCACCATTGCCATTGTAACGATTGAAGCTGCCCTGTCTGTTGAAGTTGGAGCGGCGCTCGAAATTCTAGAAAAAGCGTCTCTTTCATGGAAATAAAATCACGTTTCCATAGTTCCTGTTGTAGCTTGTCGATCCTTGACCCTGGCCATAGTGACCGCCATCATGGGAGCGCGAATGGTTGCTCATATAATCTTTGCGCAGTGCTAAGAATATCTCGGTGAGAATCCAAGAGTTTGTCTATACCATGCTCTCCCTCCCGGGCCATTTCTTCATCTGGATCTTTCGGCGTTGCGAACGCTTCCATTGGAAAAGCAGCGCACTAGAACAATATGAGAAAGATAAAGGTAATGCTCACCGCTACGCGCAGAAGTCCAATGTGCTCGCGGGAAGCACACTTCAGATTCTCAAGGTGTGGCACCGTTGGAAATTCGAGCATATCGATTCCGTGGAAGAGGCGCTTGTCGAAGTAGCTTCGTGCAAGCCCAAAAAGATCCGCCGCGTTGATTTCCTAAATTCATAATACAAAAAAAGGCCGAAAAGGCATTACCACAGTGGCAAACGCAAAGAACACGCATTTCTTCTCGCACTCAAGTGCTCCCTTTGGCTGATAGTCACTGCCGGTAGTGAAGATGGAGACGTATTGTTCTATCCAATTATTACGGAAGTCGAACTCGCATCCTGTCTTGCGCACGTCGGACTGGTATACATCAACCAACAATTGCAGCGGGGAAAGGGCCTAAAACAGCAGTGTCATTGGAAAATAGCACACTTCGGAAAGCGAGAAAAGCCATTCAAACGTACCATCAGGTGTTCCACAGCCTTCAGCACTGATTTCTGGCATTGCGCCGTGCAAAAGAGTGTTGAGTTCGAGTTTTGATCGGGTTGCCGCGGAAAGTGCAGAGCAGCGCGAGTCGCCTGCGAGATCAGCTTTCCCAGCTTCGAGCCGGCGGTTTGAAGCATGCTACACTGAGCAAAGCCGACTTCGATCTGCGAGCAGAAGGTGATTCTTTCCCTTTCTTCAGTGTCGAAGATTTTCAAGCTAAAATTCAGGTTATAAAGCGCACTCCAGAAAGGCCCTACCGAATATATTCGCAAGCATCATCAATTGCGCGCAAATCACCAAAACGTCCATGCACTTGCACGACGACACCGGACTAAATTGCGGATTCATTGGAAAAATGCGTTGGTGTACCGGTTCATCGTCGGCTGCGTGCTGGTCGTTTAAATCAGCCGATTGTTCGACGGCCATTAGTTGAATGTCGACGGTGACGTTGCTCAAAAATCCGATTGCCCTGGCCTTCTCAATGCAATCGCGCAGGGTCTCACACGTGTACTTGTGCCGTCCATCGGGTACCGGGAAATAGACGACGACCGGTGTGAGCGCCTAAAATTATAACATTCGTCGCGAATCTGAATCATACACGGATCCGCTTCCTGGCCTCGTTGACGCATTGCGCACGGCCGGAAATGAGTATCTGGTTCCGGAATTTCTGCGAGCTCTCTTTGCCTATGCCGGCTACGATGTATTGCCGGGACTAAAAACAACACAAGAAATCAGTGTCCGCTGAAGAAGCATACCGTGGAATCGACCGCCGAACTCTCTTCTCGGTCCGGGAATACAACATTGGCACCGGTATCAGCGATTACGCGTACGATCGAATCCGTGCCCTCTGGCTGCGGCTTCAGCGGCGATAGCATGCCGATGTGATATTGATGGCTGACTTCCATGCATACTGTCATGCGATCCGGATCAAATGGTTTCTGAAAGAACATGGTGAAATAACAAACGCGAAATTTACCCGGAGTTTATCCAAGCTCTGCTGGTTCTTCATGTAGCTATCCAAGAGCGCTTCTCGGCGCTGCTGGTGCATCACCAAACTGCGGCGCTTTGCGTCGGCTTGCATCTGCAAAAAAAAGTTATTTGCCACAGAACGGAACCCAGTCCCAAAAACCCTAGGGGAAAAATGAGAGGTAACCAACCATTTGAGTCATTTGCGAGCGATGGTAGAATGAATCTCCATTGGACAGATGCGGTATCACACGCTGCGTCAGTGCGACTTGTTGCTTCAGGAACGGCGTCAGACGATATGGGCCCACTTCGCCCGGTCGCAAAATGCTCTCACGCTCGCTGTTGGTGATCACCTCCATGAGCAGCGCTTGGAACTGGGTGATCGGCCCGTCATTCATGGCTGGACGACTGGGCAGCTCAGCCAGATGCGAGGAGCGCCTGGAACCGGGGGTAATTTTAGTTTTATAGAAGGAAATGAGGGAAATGAAGATAAAGATATTTTACGCCAATGTAAAGAAGCGGAAATGTTCAGATTTGAAATTTTCGCTACGCGGATTCTCACCAATTATCTATCCAAGAAATTCCATCTTATGAAAGTCTTTTTATTTTTGAAAAAGGGTTAAATTAAGAATAAGAAAAAGAAATGGTTGATTTGCAAAATTCGACGGCGCGATTTTTGAAAAAGGAATAAAAAGAAATGCTTGATTGGAAAAATTCCCCCCGCGATTCGCCGACAAGTTTTCCGTAACGCTCCGCATCTCGCCAGGGTGCTACGGTAAAGAAGCCCGATGTTGCCTTATAGGCCACGACCGATGAAGCTTCTCCCTCGACGTTTCGAAGTTTTCGAGGCGAAGAAGTTTGAAGCTTCTTTCCGTCTAATTTTGTTCGCTGCATCGCTTTCGTTCCGTGTTTTCAAAAGTCAAACAAAGCCAATCATTTATTACTTCACAGAGAAAAATCCGGATGTTTTGACCACCGTGGAATTGTATGGGGTGAGATATGTAAGCGTCAGCCGCGTAAGGATGCAGCCCTGGCCACTAGGAATGCTGTCCTAAACCACAAAATCGGAGAAAATAAATCGAAAACTAAAAATTTACGAAAAAAACGGGGGCTAAAGGGATTACTACACGGGGAACTGGACAAATTGGCTAAAAATACTACCAATAACGTGTACTATGGTCGTTTGTCATTTTTGCAGATCCGTAGGGACACATATTCACACATTTTGAATGCTTGGAGGAGAGGAGGATCGGGGAAAGGAGGATTAGAACATCGAAAAAGGGTAATGAGAATAGTATATAAAAACGGAATTGGGAAGGGGAACAAGCCAGCAAAATGCAGAAATAGATGGTGCTGGACTGTTAGCGGGGGAAGCAAATTTTTCCACTCAAATCTATGGCCATAAAGCGAAATATAAATAATTTAATCTCATTTTACCTGATTTTTAGGTATAAAGACTAACTAGCAAAATATTTGGCTTTATATTGTTTTAGTAGCATTTCAGAATATTTACGAAATATGAACGATTTTTATCGACTTTTACTTTTTTTAGGTATAAAACGCACATAATTATACTTTCACTACACCTTAGGTCTTTGAATTTGCGAATTTTTGGCCGAAAATGTATAAAAATGGGCAAATAAGGTAAAAAAATGAAAATTCGACAATTCTTTCCAATATTTTGTTAATCAAAAGCTGCTAAAGGCGAAATAAGAGACGCTATAACACATAACATTATATTATTAACAAGTAACTATAGAAAAAATTAAAAATAAACTCCCCCCGCTAACAACACAGTACCCTAATATTGATGATGCTGCTGGGGATGGCCCCACGGTGCCATCTGATGTGGATGACGGGAGTTGGAGGGATGTTGGGATGGGTCGGGAATTTGGTACATATAAGTGGGCGGGGGTGGGGGAGGTTGGTGATGGCAAGGAGGGCAGAATTGACACTGCACGGCCATCGGGGCGTATAGGGGCTGGTAGTTGGGCATGTGGCCCGGGTAGGTGACCGTCTTCCGGGCGGTGAACTCGTACTGAATCTGCCCGGGGCCCATGCGCATGTGACGGCGAGGTCCTGAAGCTGTTCGGTAATGTTTTGGATATTTTTGGTGCTTCTGTATTATCGGGGGGAGGGGGTGCATTTTGTATAAGTCTAGAAATACTTATGACGTAATCGAAAGTAAATTAATCGGGATTTGATGGCATTTACAAGTGGAAACTATCTCAAAAATTTCTGTAAAATAGAACATTGTGGTTTGTTAAAAAAAATATTTTAATAGTGTTTTTGAAAAAATTAGCATTTATAGAATTGCAAAAAACTGTGTGAAAAACAGATACAGAGTATTTTAGTCGTTTATATATGGGATTTAGACAAAAAATTATTTCAAAACTTTTAAAAATGTGTGAAAATTTGAAAAGTTTGTATAAAATAGACAATTTTCATCGAAAAATCGATATTTCGAACACGCTATTTTTTGATCTATCTTTAACCAGATGGTTCCAGTCGCTTCGCGACTGTAACCATCTGGCCTTCGGGCTTCCCTTCATGCCATACACCATCACATCCATCCCTACCTTTCCAAAAATACCCCCGCTAATGGCTACAGATACCTCCCCCAGCCAAATCCCCTTCAAAAACTACCAAAATACCTTCCTGATGGCTTCAGATACCCCCCATGGCTGAAATCCCCTTCAAAAACTACCTAAATACCTTCCCGATGGCTTCAGATACCCCCTATGGCTGAAATCCCCTTCAAAAACTACCTAAATACCTTCCCGATGGCTTCAGATACCCCCCATGGCTGAAATCCCCTTCAAAAACTACCTAAATACCTTCCCGATGGCTTCAGATACCCCCCCATGGCTGAAATCCCTTCAAAAACTACCTAAATACCTTCCCGATGGCTTCAGATACCCCCCATGGCTGAAATCCCCTTCAAAAACTACCTAAATACCTTCCCGATGGCTTCAGATACCCCCCATGGCTGAAATCCCCTTCAAAAACTACCTAAATACCTTCCTGATGGCTTCAGATACCCCCATGGCTGAAATCCCTTCAAAAACTACCTAAATACCTTCCCGATGGCTTCAGATACCCCCCATGGCTGAAATCCCCTTCAAAAACTACCTAAATACCTTCCCGATGGCTTTAGATGATTTAAATAATTAATTAACATAATTAAAAAGTATTAAAAGTATTAAAAAGTATTAAAAGTATTAAAAAGTATTAAAGTAACTTAAAAAAGCTATCTGGTCGCGCGAGGGGGCCTGGGGAAGAGGGCGAAGGGAAAGGGGGCGTGGCTTCCGGGGAGAGGGGCCCCCACTCGTTTTATTAAGGCACCACTTTCAAAGTTAATTTTAATAATTTAAACTAAAACTTTTTCATAATTTTTTTATCAGTTTGGGGGTTTCTGAGGGCGCTCTATCCGAATCCGAAGAGAGCTAAGCTCTAGCTCTTTTCCCCTTCGAGTTGAATTCGGCTTCAGACGGACGGACGGACGGACGGACGGACAGAGACCACAGCAAAATTATTATAGTTGATACATTTTTTAAAGCTATTGATGTCTAAAACCCACCTTCCGGCCCATGCATAGGCTGCTGCATCTGATCATACGGCTGCATGCGCTGCCACGACGGGCTGACCATGTTCATTTGCTGGGACTGAAAATCGGGTTTTTATTGCTTTTTTCACCCCACCCATTCAGCCGCCGTCTGGTCGCCCATGCTGAAATCTTGGGCCATGTCAAAGTCGAGCGTGCGGTCCCCTAAAATGTTTTTTTTGGTAAAATTAACTGGAAATACCTGGATGCTGGCTGCCACTCCAGCGCGGGTCCTGCAGTGACAGTCTTTGCAAACCGTTATGTGGTCCCGGGCTGGTCGGGTATTGTTCAGGCATCGGTTCCGGGTCCGTATCATTGCCGTCGTCAAGTGGGAAATTATCGGGATCGGGTTCCGGATCCGTGTCCTCGCCCTCAGCATCGTCCTGTTGCACGGCGTCATCATAGTCAGGTTCAACCGGAAAATGATCCGGATCGGGTTCCGGGTCCGTATCCGGATCATCTTGTTCATCATCATTTTGGACATCCTCAGGCTGATTTTCCGACTCTGCCAATTCCGGTGTAACCCGAGCACCGGCTGACTGCATAGAAATTGGCCTCTGAGGCGGAATTCCGGAATCTTTTCCGGCTTCTTCAACCGGAAAATCATCAGGATCTGGTTCCGGATCCGTTTCTTCGTCATCATCGTCAACTTGGACTGGGTAATTGGCGATATCCGGTTCATCGTCCGTATCCGGATTTGCTTCCTGATCCTCGTGCTCCTCAGTCGCAACTGGCAAGTTGGCATTGTCAGGGTCCTTCTCCGTACTCGGAACGGCTTCCTGAACGGCAGCTTCAACGGGGTAGTTGGCGATATCTGGTTCCTCGTCCGTTTCCGGATCGGCTTCCTGACCGGTAGGTTCAACTGGGTAATCAGCAGGGTCAGGTTCCGCGTCCGTATCCTCATTTTGAGTGGAGACAGGGTAATTTTCCGGATCAGGTTCTAAGTCTGAGTCTTCTGGATTGGAAAGAGGTGCGGGATCGGTTGAAATTTCTTCTGGATTTGGTGTCGGTGACGCTGGGGGAAGGTTTTTAGGCTCGTTTCTGTCGGCGTCCGGTTGATTTTTCAGCGCTGAGTCCAATACTCCCTCCGACTTATCTTCCGGAAGCATTACATCAGGCGAGCGCACCTTCTTACTTCCGGAAGCAACCGAAACCTTTGACCTCCTTGGTCTCGTCGTTTTTCGCTCAACAGCCGGAGCCTCTTCCGGAACAATCTCCACGAATTCATGAGCAACATCTCCATCCACCGGATCCTTGATAACCACAAATTGCTTCTCCTTGCCCCCATCCTGCGCGGCAACAATTTCCGCTTCTTGTATCTCCGTGACCCGCATCGAAGCATCCCGCCGCGGCACCGGCCTAGCAAGGCTCTCATCCACGTACTCATACCCCGTCGTCACTTCCTCAATCTTCCCATCCATTTCCACCTCGTAGTACTGTCGCTTCAGTTTCGGGATCAAAATCTTTCGAGCCTCAGCGTCAGAGTCGAACTCCTCTTCGGGCTCCTCGACGGCCGGCTCGATGTCGACGGCTTCGACGTCTTCGTTGGTTTCTTCGATGTGGAGTACACGCTGTTCGGTGTCGTCTCCGGTCTCTTCCGGCTCGGGCTGGAGCTCCATCGGGCGGCGAACTGGGGGCGGGCGTGGCCTTTTGCTGAAGGGTACGCGGCTCTGGAAAATTCGTTTTTAGTAACCTTCCGTTATTCAAATTAATTTACTTTGCTACTTTACTTTATAACTTCAAATGTCATAATGCCGAAAGTTCAGAATGTCGAAATTCATATTGCCGAAACTTGGATATTACTTACTGTATCGTAAATTCGTTAATTTCGCTATGTTGTCGGGATTTTTTCGAACTAGCGCCGAGAATATTACGGGATTCTGGCTGTCGGGATTTCGGTATAGAATTTCGGCATTTTGGGTTTGGGTGTTCTGTATTTCGACATTTTGAAATTTCGATATTAGAAAATTTTGACAGCATAAAATAGCGACTTCGCGAGGTTTCGGCATTATTTTCGACAGTTTAAATTGCCCAGATTTTTCGTACCTTTTGCCACCGTCCCTGGCTGTCCATCGTCTTGCTCAGCTTGATGCGCTCGTAGGCGGTTTTGCCGTGCGCGTTGATGACGTGCTTGCGCAGGCTCGACGGGTCGGTATACGCCTTCGAGCAGCCGAATTCGGGGCACGCGTACTCTTTCTAGAATTGAAAATATAAATCAATTTTCTTAAATTTCAATTTTTTAGGTGTTAAAACTTGTTAAAAACTTCGGTTTACCAAGTAAAGCATTACTTTCTCTACCCAGCCGGACGTTACAAAAATTTTTTCCGCTATAACTTTTCCATTTTACTTTATTTTGAAATGAAATTAAAACTCTTAAGGTATTTTTTGACGCTCTATCGAATGGCGTAGTCAAAATCCCGAAAAATGCCGAAAAATTTTGAGAACCCAGGGCTGGGGGAAGGTAAAGCAAAGTCTAGCCACTTACCGTTTTTCCATGAGTCCGATTTTCGTGCTTGCTGCGGTCGGAGGCGTTGTAGAAGGCCTAAAAATTTGTTTTTTTTTGCGCTCAATTTTTCTCACCTTCGTGCAAATATTGCATTTATAGTTTGGAGTATGGGTGTGTTGGGAGCTGATGTGGGTTCGCAGGTTCTCCGGGCGACGGTAGCTTTTCGAGCAGCGCTAAAAAAATATAGTTGAACCTTTTTCTGATTTTTACGTAAAAAAAATTCCCAAATTCGCTTATTTTCGGTGCTTTTGCATTATCGGGGGGAGGGGAATTGTCGAAAATCCATATTTTTGTCGAAAAACGATATTTTCGTATTTTTTATAGAAATATCTAAAATTTTGCTTTACAAATAGCAAAAAAAACAGAAACATTTAAATTAGAAAAAAAATCGATCCCAAACAAAAAATAGCCCCCCCCCCCGATAATGCTTAAGCTCCAGTTTTAGTCCTAACGGGAGAGAAACCCTCCCCCCCCCCCCCGATAATGCCAAAGCACCAATTTTAGTCCTAACGGGAGAGAACCCCCACCCCCGATAATGCCAAAGCACCAGTTTTTGAAAGATTCTAACATTTTAAGATGACTGGTCCCGATAAATAACAAAAATCAATCGCTTACATCACATTTATAGGGCCGCTCGAGGGAGTGTACGCGTGAATGGATCATGAGCATGTAGTAGGCCTTGAAGGGACGCCTAAACGGGCGGATTGTGAGGTGTTCTTCTTCCCCCTCGTTCTCCTGTCCTCGCAGGATATCCTGCAAAAAGACCCACGTATTCCGGTCACAATCCCGCCAGCGACAGCAAAACGGCTTTGTCGGGTCGTCCTTGATCGCTTGGAGGTGGTCGTGGAAGTGGGCGATGAATTCCTGGAAAAAAGCCTTGATTTGTATCCTAGAGACACCCAGGTCCATTTTGTCGAAAATTAGAATGTCGAAACTTTTTGCCAAAAGGTTAAATCCGAAATTCATTTTGTCGAAAATTAGATGGACGAGGCCTGCTTTGTCGAAAACTAGAATATTGAAACTCGCTTTGTCGAAAAGAAGAACGTCGAATACAATTTGATAAAAATTAAAATTTCGAAACTCGTTTGTCGAACTCATTTTGTTTAAAATTAAATTTTCGCAGCTCGTTTTGTCGAAAATCAGAATCACGAAACTCATTTTGTCGATGAACAGGTTTGAGATGAATCAATACCGACAAAATTATTCAACAAAATTCTTCGATAGTTTCGCTATGTTTTCAGGATTTTTTCGAACTAGCGCCAAGAATGTTTCGGGATTCTGGTTGTCGGGATTTTGGTTCTCAAGATTATGGGTCGCATTCGTTGGGGATTCCGTAATTTTGAAATTGGGGTATTTTGGGTTTCGGTGTTTTTGATTTCGGCGTTTTCGGATTTGGATATTTTGAATTTTGGCCTTTTGGGATTGCAATTCGGAATTTCGGTTATTTGGATTTTGACATTTTTGGGTTTCGGCTTTTTTTTTGGTTTGGATATTAGCACTTGCATTTTCGGTATTTTGCGTCTGAGAGTGCTGCTATTCGCTATAGATTTCAACATTTTGGATTTGGTGCTAATTTCGGTATTTTGCCTGTCGGTGTTATACATTTCGGGGTGTTGGAATTTCGGTATATTTTCCTACGGAAGCACAGCCTTACAAAAACTCACATCCTGATCCAATGTCGAGTATTGACAATTGATCCATTTGCAATTCAGCACCGGATCTGGTTGCGGTGATTCGGGTCGGCTTTCGATTTCGATCGGCTCGTCGTCAGAATCCTGGCTTTGGCTGTTCTGGGATCCACCATGCGGGCTTTCCGCCTCCCGCTCATATTCGACATCGATTGGCTCGTCGTCTTCAGTGTCCTCGTACTCCGTCTCCGGGATTCTTAAACAAAAAACTTGACCAAAAAAGTTGATTGATATACCTATTACGCTTTGGGGCCAATTCTCGATCGTAGGCGGCTTGTCTTTTTCTAAAAAAAATTTATAAAAAATTGTTTTGAGTGTTCTTACCGATCGATAGAGATCTCCCGTCTGGATCTATGCCCTTGGCTTGTCGAAGGCTGTTCAACCTCGAGTTCCGGGTCTATTAGATCTTCCCTAAAAACCTGCTAGTTTTTAAATGTGGTCAGCTCACTCAGGAATCGGCTGATCCAGATCGTAGAGAGTGTAGGTATCGCCATCTTCATCAGACTGTGCTGCCGAGTGTTCAGTGCTTGCTAAAAAAATTTTTCCTTAAGTACCCCGGAGCACAAGGAGCCGGACAAGCCATTCTAAACTCACTCGGAAGTTCCTGTCCTCCAGATGGGGCGACAACAGCAACCGGTCTGACCTGAAAAAGCGCCCGATATTGCGGCAGCAGATTAAATTTTTATGTTATTGGTAATAGTATTTTTATTGCTAGCTTACCGGCGGATATCGTGGATGTGGCATCTTGATGTCAGCGACATTCGCCAAGTATTCCATCTGCGCGGCGGCGTCGGCCAATATTTTCAGGCCGGTCGGCTCGATGCTAGGCGGAATCCGGCGTGTTCGCGCTGGCGGTTTGCGCTGAAAATTTAAAATATCGGTATTATACGTTCTGTTTTGTTGCACCGAACTACTTTACACCGAATACGAAAATACCGACAGTCAAGGCGCACCCCTCAAAATACCGAAAGCCAAAATGTCGACATTCCAATTCTGCCTGCGAATCTAGATATTAGGGATGGGAAAACGCGGGAATCCCGACAACGAAAAATCCATCCGCGAAACTGCCGACAGGCCAAAATCCCGATAGCAGAATACCGACAAGCAAAACAGATTGCTAAAGGGAAGTGGCGTGTAGGCTAGCTTCAAGAAAGTCGTCAAGCCGGGATTTTAGCCTGTCGGTATTTTGGCCTGCCGGGATTATGCTCATCGGTATTTTGACCTTTAGGAATTTTGGCTGTCGGGATTATGGCTATTCGTTCGGAATTTCGGCGTTTTTGAATCTCGGTGTTATCGAAGTTTGGAATGTCGGTATTTCAGTGCTTCTTACCTTCGGCTTTTCCTTCGCTTCCAGCAGGATCGGCTTCGTATCAGGCTCATTATTGGGTGGAGGGGGAGAAGGAGTTCGAGCTACGCCGGCAACTACCGGAAAATTAACTACAAACATTGTTTCACTAACGTGGTGGCGTCACGCTTTCTTGAGGCCCATCTCGGCTTCCCTCATGGGGGGAGGCTGATCCTCAGCGGGGAGACGCGCTGTAAAAACTTGAAGGACTAGCTAAAATCCACGAAATATACCAGTTGTTCCGGTTGCGCATTAATAGACGCCATAGCGATTTCCGGTTCTTCTTTGATGATGCTTTTCTTGGGGGTATTTCTTTTCTAAAATGCTTCTGTTTTTTCATTTAAATTTCCAAATTTTTCTAAAGGTATTTTATTAAGTAAATTATCTTATTTCGCTACCAGTGGAAAAAGACCGCTTCGCGGCCCTTTTCCACTGGACACCGTCTAGGAACCATGAATTCCCTTACCTCTTTGTCAAGTCTGCGGCGCAGGAGCCTGACTCAAGGACCCATTCTTTGGCCTGCGGTGCCAGAGCCAGTCTTGCGCGGGAATCCTTGAGCCTGCGGCGCTAGCTACTGCTTTTTCTCCCGGATTTAGCCTGCGGCGCGAAACGTGTTTCAGGGACCTTTTCTTTGGCCTGCGGCGCGAGAGCCTGGGTAAAGGACCCATTCTTGGCCTGCGGCGCGAGATCCTGGGCCAAGAACCTTTCCTTGGGCCTGCGGCGCTAGAGCGAAGGCCAGGCCTAAATCGCGCACACGGAAAGCCTAGAAATATGTTTTGTTGCTGAACGACCAAAAAGCAAAAACTTTTCCCATCTAGCTTGCAAAAATGAGGCCTCAATTCCCTCTAGGCGCTGAGAAAACTTCCGGACAACGCGGCAAAAACCCATTTTGTTAAGGATTTTTCACTTTTTTGCTTATGAAATTGTTAAATGAAGGTATTTCGTAAAACAAAAAAATGCATCACTGACAAATGTGTTTCTCCACCTCCATGCCAAAAATCAGCCGGAAATTCGGTCTGACGGCCGAGAAATCGGCTGTACAGAAAACAGACAAACTTTTCTCGCTTATAGGATAGGATGATAGCTTATTTCTCGGAACTAACCTTTGTAAATGGGGCTCGTTTGCGCGGTTCTTTAGCCTTTGGTGCTTCTGCTGGCAGCCGAGACGCTTGCGCATCTACCGCTGGCGCAGGCTCGTTCTAAAAATCTATATTTTTAACAATATTAAGATTTTAATTTTTTAATAAAAGTTCCAAGCGTCACAAACTTAAAATTGTCTACCTTCCGCCTGGTAACACGCTTTTTCGGTAGTTCCTGTACTTGTAAAACTATTGTTGGGCGTTCCGTTATATCCATCGCTTCCGCCTCTTCATTTACGGGCTGGTTTGGCTGAAAATTAGTACGTTTTTTACTCTTTACGTTTTCGAAAACGAGAATGAATTAAAGTGAACGTTCATTTGCGTACTACGTGGACGCCTAATTACGAATGCTTCTGTATTTGCGTCTCTCTCTCTCTCGATCTCTCTCTCTCTCCCTCTCTCGATCTCTCGCTTTCACTCTCTTGCTTACCGTAACACCGTCAGCTTGCGGGCCCTCATCTTCAACCGTTTCGGCCTTGACCATTGTTGTGGTGGGCTGCTTCTGAAAAGTACGCCTTGTAACTATTACGTTTGCAAATTCAGCATCTTCAAGACTTAAAGTATACCCACCTTCTGACGACCAGGCCGACCCCGGGTAGGTTTAGAAATGGGTGCCATGAAGGCGGTCCTGAAATAGGCACTTTTGATCTATTTTAATAGCGGCTTTAGGTTATTGAAAACAGCATGAAAAGCTATGAAATAAAAGTCAAAATAGGCTCAATTTTACAAAATATAGGTTGAAAAACTGAAAAACAAGAATATAGTCATTTTTGGGCATTTGAGGTTCCTTTATTTGGCTGGAAGGGGTAAAGGCTAGAAAAGAAGAAGGTAGCATCGCTATCTCAATAGCTTAAAATCGTCTAAATTTATTAATTCTACAAAAACCAGTTCGAAGATCCGTTTAAAATTAGTAATATATAATTTTTTGATGTTTCTGGCGCTTTTAATCGACCAGAGGAGGTAGCCTTTAAAAACAAGAAGGTATAATCGATGTGAAAGAACGTAAAAAATCATCTAATTTTTTAATTTTACAAAACGCAGATGTAAAGCCTGCCGTCGCTGTATCGAAGGGACACTATATCGATCGGGTGTGTCTATTGCCATGGGCCCCGGGGGCTCGTGTCTGCCAGCCGTTTTTGAACATCGCTGTAGTCCGTAGCCCACCCACGGGGTCGCACCCGATGCCACAGACCCATGGTGGTGATAATCTTCTCAAAAATAGGTTTCAAGTAGTGCTATGGATTTTTCGGGTACGTTTCAGGCGATTGGGCTGGCCGGTTGCCAAAGAGGAAATAGTGGGCGTTTGGTGGAGGGAGCTTGAGAAAATTCAGGAAATCACCTGCGCCTGGGTGAGCGCGGATGCTTATCCTTATGGAAACGGGGAGCCTACAAAAGTAATAAGCTTCTACGGGTAGTTAATATAGGATGTAGCTCTCACGAAAGTGCAGCTTACAGGAAAACGCGACTTTAAGAACCGTTATAGAGCTTTAAGCTACGAAGTACGCTGTTCAAAACTGCTGAAGTCAGTGCACTGGAAATTCAAGCTCTTTATTTCTTAGGATGAGCAGCAGAAGTGAGAAACGATGGCCAGAAAGAGTAAAGACGTTTTTAAAACTTGGACCAAGCCATTTTTGGCATTGTAATGGCAAAACAAGTTTCAGATTGATCAAAATTGATCCACGCTACGCCGGTTTTTTTTTGAAGCGTGATGTCGTATCGCGCGTACCCTCAGGGATTCGCTGCATTAAAGTAAAGGTATCGATTTGCCGGCAAAATGAAATCGACGCACTATGGTACGAAGATGAGCAGGAAAACGTCTCATTAGTGCATCCTAATTTCCGCATAGCTCCGGGCCACGTTTTAGGGAACGGCAGTTCGCAATAAAGTCGGTCGTTTTTTGAATGAGAGTCGAATGTATCTTTATAGGGCTCTTGTTTATTTTCTCTGTATGCCGATCGATTTACCCAAAATATTTCGGGAACAAAGCAAATCAACTCAATAACTGAAAACGCTAAAGCTGAAGCTGCGCTAGCTTTTCGATGATTCAGGTCACATGACTGTGGCCGATCGAAATTCTTATGAAATAAACATGGGCGCCTCTGCATATCGATCGGCTGCCCGGGACCGAAGGGTAAAGCTGGCCCGGAAATTGTAGCCATGTAAAGAAATCGGCTGTCGACCGCCGTTGCTATCCACGCCCCATCATTCAACCCCCATATACTGCTGCAATCTCGGAGATATCGTTAGATTGGCCTTGAGGGAGTGGAAATAAGCTTTATCAGAACCGGACACATCATCAATCACAACCGGGCAAGTTCAAACTTGGAAAAGGAAATACGGCACTGGACTACTAGCGCGGGCGGATTTTAGCGAGAGTGGAACAGCAAGTTTTTAATCTTTATTATGTTTACCTACCTAAAACGCTATCAAAAGGCCTAGAACATTTAAGTTCGACATTTTTGGGAATTTTCCGAAAGTTTTGATTTCTTGACGAAGTTTGCGTGCTAAAACGGCATAAAAAGCTAGGTAAGTTATTTGTGCTTCATCATTGGGTTCTAAAAAGCGATAAACCGGACCACCCCCGCTAACAGTTCAGTCCCGGCAAGGCTACAAAACTAAAACTCTAATCCCAGCCCGGAGACCCAATCAAAGTTCTCTCCGTTATAATTGTATTCGCAGCCGATGTTGGACAGGTGGTTCACCTCGTCTTTTAGCATCTGAAATAGGGTAAAATTTTATCCGGTTTTAAATTTAATTCCTATGGATTTTCCTTGATTTTAGCGAGTACGAGAGAGCTATAATTTCAAAAACCTCACCTGAAACACGTAGTGATAATCAATTTCTCCAGGGCTATCCGGCGGCCCGCGCGCTGGCACTTGGGCTATCTGGAATTTCGCATAAATTTTAAACATTATTATTATAATTATACATAATCAAAATTTCACATGTTTTATCAATATTTCACACCTGAATATGACCAATATAATGCCGCAACTGTCGCACCGTCGCCGTCAGCTGCCCGCAAATTTGTTGCGCGTGGAAAACGTCGAACATCAGCTTCAGATTTGGCTTCTTGCCCTGGAAACTTGGTGTAAACGTTGTTATTTAATAGGAAAGTCGGTAAGCTGTTTAACTGAATGGGTAAAAGCCTAAATGCGTTCTAAAACCCAAAAAAACCCACCAAATCCTCGAGAACTTGAACTGCTTGATTGTAGTTGTTGAGGAAGTAGCCGGGGATGGTGTAGGAATTGATCGGCTCGATCAGACAGAGTATATCTTCTTCAGCCGCCAATTCAGCGGCTAGCCCGATGTTGGAACGGTAGATCTGCTTCGCTTCAGAATTTCCGGCTTCGGCCATCCCGGCCATGATGTGGATGCGGGGGCAGGAAAGGGTCTGAAAAAGTTTTGAGTTCTTGAGAAGTGTTTCTACATAATTTTTACTATTTCTAAAGTTTAGACTTTACAAATTTTGATAAAATCCATTCCAAAAACCCGCTTCTGCAAGAAATGGTCAATACGCGGCCAAAATTTCGACTTGTAAAAGCTTTTCTAAGTTTTCCAGGTGATTTTCTACTTTAAACATAGCGAAATTTGACTAAAAACTCTATTAAAAAGTTGATATTACGCTAGTATACATATCTCAACTCATAAAACAACGTTTGTTCCGCTGGAAAACTAAACAAAATCTCCACCCGCAAACGGAAACTATTAATAGGGTTATTAACTACAACTAGCCTTTGCATAATGTATCGCCGTTCTCATCGATTCTTCAAAAAGATTCCGAGCCTTGGGCACAGCAGCAATCCCCTTTCCACCGTATTCGGCGGGTCCTGCCGGGGCGTTGATGAGCACGTGGGCGAGGCCGAGCCGGTCCGCCCGTTCACGCAAGCATTCCGCTTTTTCGGTGTACGGATTCGGGATCTCGACGGCTGAAAGATATTTGAATTGGAAATTTTCATACCCTACCCTTCAAGCTTTTCTAAGTTTTCCAGGTGATTTTCTACTTTAAACATAGCGAAATTTGACTAAAAACTCTATTAAAAAGTTGATATTACGCTAGTATACATATCTCAACTCATAAAACAACGTTTGTTCCGCTGGAAAACTAAACAAAATCTCCACCGGATTTAAAATTGAAGCCGGCCGCCGCTGCTCGTTCGTACCGCTCGAAAAGGCCGACGTCGGTGAACAGCGTGCCGAGATTTGTGACGGCTCGCATTCGATGTGGCGTGGAGGACATTCCTGAAATAAATAATGTAATTACAACAAAAGCGAGTCCCTAAAAAGCATAGAATCTATAGAAATAGCAATGAAAAAGGAAAACAAATCAAGAAAAGTTTTAAAGGTTTATTTACTTAGAATCCGGCTTCAAATACTTTGTCATATTATCTTGTTTTATAAAGCGAAGAATTTCGAACATATTTTTCAAAAAATCACCAAAATAGCTGCTCAATAGATCGTTATCACAAAAAAATCGTTGTTTACGAGCGCCTCGAGAAAAGGACTGCCCACCAGTTACGACGTGAAAACAAGAGGGCAGCGGCGAGCGAAAAAATCTGAAGTGCTAAAAAAGAAATAATAAAAACCCCGAAAAAAACACGCTTATGCCTCTCAGAATTATAACAAAAATCCTAAAAAAAAAATATACCTGAGAAAAACAGCTAGAAATAAGGTATATTGCTTGTAATAGCAAGAAAAAGGGCTAATGATGAAAAAAAGAATTAAATAGAACAATAACTTTTTTCTCGAATATTAGGAGAATCTGAAAGTGTAATTAAATGGAGAAAATCGGTTATTCTCTTCGTTTATAAAAAAAGCTAGAAAACCCGGGCAATGGCAGCGTTTTTTTTCGAGGCTGAACAGTTGTCGCTCAAGCCGCATCTAACCGCGAGAAACTCTTGGGGGCTAAATAGTACTTACCTACTTTCTGATTCCCATTAATTCTATAAAACCAATACTATACATTATTCTACATACTCTTAAAGTGATATTTAACAAAATGAAGCCACAGACACTTCTCCGATTTCCGCACAGTTTAAAAACCGTTTCTTTGGTATGTTTGGGCTATAAAATGGATAAATTTTCGATTGTAGCTGCTTCTAATTGCTCTATTATTTATATTATGGGAAAATAGACAGTACCCGTCGACGAAAATCACTTCATGGCAGGTAGGTGCGATTTTGGTTGCGTTTTTCAAGCAATTTCTCAAGGTTTTACCGTTGCTGCTCGTAATGGCGGGGACGGCCTGGGCCGAGGACTCCGTGCACGACCCCGAATGGGCTTATTTGGTTAGTTTTCGGCTTTTATTAATGCTTATGACAAAGTTTTGACCAGGAAAATAGAGAAAAACATTTAATTTACAAGAAAAATAATGAAAACTACGAAAAACAGTGATACAACCTCTAAATGAAGCCAAAAAAGCTATAAAAATGAATTGTAATTATTTTATAATGCTTTTAAGATATTCTGAAATTCATTAAAAACTCAAAAAGGTCTTTTAAAATTAGTTATAAAGCTCATAAAAACTTAAAAACATGTTTGGGTTATTTTTTATCTATGTTTTATCAATTTTCAAAGGCCTGAAAAGCTTAAAAAATGTTTAGGTAGTCACAAGACTCATAAATTAGCTATTAAAATGTCTTGGTAATGTTTTTTTTCTGTAAAATGTTTTTTACAACAATTTTCGACTTATTTCACATATCAAAACTTTCCAGGAAGTCCTCTCGTGCTCCTTCTTCGCGGGAGCCAGCCTCTGGAACGTGCTCTACCTTCACGGGCTTAATTTCGACGATTTTAACACGAATATAGCTTTTGTAAGTATGATCTAAGCCTAAATACCCTTTTTCAGGCTTTATCACTTTTCCTCCTGCTCCTATGGACGCTACAACTCACCGCCTACGGACTCGCGGCCACCTTCGACTTTTGGCACTTTGCCAGAGCCGCGAAAAAGGTGGAATTAATGGAAAAGCAAGGGGAAATTGAGGTGTATATGAATTTATTTAAAAATGAACTTTAGCAGCCCAAGCGGACGATGTCAGCTCAGGTATCTGATGGGTTTCTGGTGGAGCAAGAGGTGTTGAGCGAGGTTACATATCGAGAAGTTCGGGCTTCACCTCTGACAGTTAGCGAGGGATCCGAAGAAAGTTCTGAAGAATCCGATAAAGATTGATTTTTGAGGTATAGCTTGGCACTTTAATTGTTTGCAAAATTAAAACGATACGAACAGCGTAAAAATAGAGAATTTTTGAAAAAGATGGCACTGTTTTGGCTAAGCCCTAGTAGTTTTTAAGTCAGGATGATGCAGGAAATTTGCCGTATCTCTCGCTCTCGCTCTGTCTCTCTCCCTCTCTCTCGCTCTCGTTCTCTCTCACCCTCTCTCCCGAAAATCCCGACACTTAAAATGCCGACGGCCAAAATCCTGCCATCAAAAACTCGGCAGTCAAAATCCCGACATTATCTTCACGCTAATCTAAATTCTCCTTTCTTTTAAACAGCTATTTTGCAGGTCTAGCTCCGCTGTCGGGATTTTCAGTTGTCGGGATTTCGGCATCTTCCCCTTATTTAGCATAAAATTCGTGATGTTCTCGGAATTCTCTTCCTCATCTCGACATCAGCCCCTTCTAGCCGCACCTAAAATCAGCATAATGGGCCGCCGGGCTAGGGCCCCCCGCTGCCAGCTGTTAGGGCCATTCAGCTACTCGGGATGGCCGCTTCAGACCTTCAGAATGGCCAATCAATCTAGGTGCCCGGGTTTTTATGGATTCTAAACTATCTCTAGGTCTAAACTAAACTGGACACATAAAAATAGCTTTCGTGACCTAGTCGACAACTTTCGTCCATTATGACGCTTCACAGCTCCTTTAAAACCTTTTAGTTCGGCTATCGTACTCCCCCATATCGTCCCAAATCCCCTGGAGCCATGCCAGCATTTTCCGGTTGGTTTCTCTCCCTCTCTCTCTCTCTCTCTCTCTCTCTCTCTCTCTCTCTCTCTCTCTCCCGCCGTGACCGTCTCCCCCGGCGGTTTTGATTGATTAGATTGATACGCGGGCGACGACGCGCACAATTCCCAAACGATAAACAGCCCCCCTCGAATTCCTGTTTTTCTTCCTGGATTCCAATGCGTTCTTTGGTCGTTAGATTGAGCTAGTTTTCTTGCTCTCTCTCTCTCTCTCTCTCTCTCTCTCTCTCTCTCGCTCTCCGTCTCTGTCTCACGCTCGTTTTTTTCTTGCCTTCTCATCCCCTTTAAACCTCAACCCCCCCTCACCTGTCCCCCCGCACGGCTCATCGCCTAAACTTTATGACCACCAATCGGTTGGCCGCCGGTTGTGGCCCGGCGATAAATCTTTACGCGATGGCCCCCGGTCCTACACAACCATCCATAAATACGCAGCGATGATGGTAGCTTTCCGGAATTTAGATTTTTTAGGGTTATAGAGTTGCGGTTCCAAATCCGCGTTTGACTGGAATCCATGTTTTGCTCTCAAGAGAGGAAGCTAGCTGCGAGCGTAACCTTAAAGGGAGGACTATGCGCTTATTTTTGCTGCCTTTGTCTCTCTGTCTCGCCCACTCCCGGTCTCTCTCTCTCTCTCTCTCTCTCTCTTTCTCCCTCTTTCTCTCTCCTTCTCTAGCCAGAGCAGCTGCTACCGTACTTGGAAGTCCTAAGCCTCTCTCCCTCTCTCCCTCTCCCTCTCCCTCTCCCTCGCCCTCTCCCTCTCCCTCTCTCTCACTCTCGCTCTCTCTCTCTCTCTTCCTCCCTCTTTCTCTCTCCTTCTCTAGCCAGGGCAGCTGCTACCGTACTTGGAAGTCCTAAGCCTCTCTCTCTCCCTCTCCCTCTCCCTCTCCCTCTCTCCCTCTCCCTCTCCCTCTCCCTCTCCCTCTCCCTCTCCCTCTCCCTCTCCCTCTCCCTCTCCCCTCTCCCTCTCCCTCTCACTCTCTCTCCCTCTCTCCTCTTCCTCTCCCTCTCCCTCTCCCTCTCCCTCTCCCTCTCCCCTCTCCCCTCTCCCTCTATCTCTCCCTCTATCTCTCCCTCTCCCTCTCCCTCTCCCTCCCCTCTCCCTCTCCCCTCTCCCTCTCCCTCTCCCTCTCCCTCCTCCCTCTCCCTCTCCCTCTCCCTCTCCCTCTCCCTCTCTCCTCTCTCTCTCTCTCTCTCTCCCTCTCTCTCTCTCTCTCTCACTCTCGCTCTATCTCTCCCTCTCACTCGCTTTTTATGCTTTACCTGTATCACAGCATACTGTATAAAAACCTCATTCCCGGCGCCTTTAAAAGCCCCCCCACCTCTTGCTCCCCACAATCCCAAAATCATCAATTTGACGCCATTGGCATCTTCCCCACTTTTTCATGCGTCTGCACGCCCCGGGAGTGGACTGAAAATCGTGGAGTCGTTTGGGGAGGACAGGAAGAGCCTCAGGGGTACGGTAGTCGGTTCCAATTTTCAGGGGCTGAGCAGCAGCTCCATCTAGCTGGTCGACCCGTTCTCCCCCTCCTGCTCCTTCTCCATTTTCTCCAGCCTTCCACCTCTCGGCTGCGTGCATCGAACCTGGGTGACGTATCGATTTTGTGAGGGTTGGAAGGCTGCCCCCAGCTGCCTACCCCCCCTCCCCGCAGCCAGCACGCCAAAACCCCAGGCTAGATTGGGCGGAAATTATGATTTGCATGGTTTTAATGAGGTTTTTGAGGTATTTTTGATATAGTCGATATCTTAAAAAGATTTATTTGCATGTTTCCATACTACCAATTTTGTAAAAAAATTATTTTTAGAACCCTTTTTAAAGCGGGGTTTTAGGTGCGTTAGCCGTAATTATAATTTTCAGAATTTAAATGAAATTTTTCACGTGTTCTTGTTGCGGCTAATACCTAAAAATCTTGCTATGTATTTTTCCAGCTTGAGAATTAGCATAATTTATCTCTTTGTTTTGAAAATCCCAATTTTATGACGTTTTTTCAAACTGGTTGCCCTCAAATTAAAATATGCAAATTTATCGTGAAACGGATGATTATTTCAATCCCTTCTTTTTTACTTTTTGCAATCGAAAAATGCAAGTTCTAAAAATTTTTGCCGATTTGGATAGCAGCTTCTCTCTTCTGAATCTAGCTTCTCTCTCTCTCTCTCTCTCTCTCTCTCTCTCTCTCTCTCTCTCTCTCTTCTTTAACGTCAAATTCCTTGTATTTGATGGCTCTGACTATACCACCACAATACTATCCCCACCCACCACTTCCGCTGCCAAAATCAACTCGAGGAAT